GATCTTGGGGACTGGTACTAAGATCTCCAAAATAAATACCTAAAACATGTGCAGGTACATAGAGTTGTAAGCATTTCTTCAAATAGTTTGGACCCAAACTATTTAGGACATTAAATCCACCAATTTCAGTCAGGTTCAGAAATTCTGTACAAATAGTCATCACAGAATTATTCTGTACAAATAAATCTGTGACAACCAATACAATTTGTACAGAATTGGCATAATATCATATTGTCTAGTCCCAATATAGACTTGAATAGCTGAAATTTCTGAGTTCTCTTCAAAAACAGCCCCATTTCAGAGTGTATTGCAGTAGTCGAGTCTAAATTTAACTGTAGGATGCTTAACTGAGGCCAGGCAGATCCATTTTGCATGGTTGATATGCCTACCAAAATAGGTAGAAGGTACTCCTGGCAACTCATTTTGCATTCATTAGGCTTAGGGTTTTACCAGTTGAATCCCGCTATCCAGATTAGCAGATTGAATTCCCCATTCAAAGTACTTCTGCCTTTGTCCACTTTAAGATTTAGAGAGCTTGCATTCATCCATCTCCAAACTGTTTCATAGAACAGTGCACAAGCTTCAGGTTCTTTCAAAAACTCTTCTTCAGGCTGGATCTTAAACTGCCCATCTTCAACCTGATGCCCTATAAATGTGATGTCCATGCTGTCTTGGAATTATGAGAGTTGTAATCCAATACATTTGAAGGGCACTAACTTGGAAAAGGCTATCTTAAAATCAGACCAGGACTGACTGGAGAGAAGGAAAAGATGGCTGCACATGGAATTTGCACACTGTTAATTGGGGAAGGCCCTCCATATTTAATATTTTGACTGAAGGTATTGTCTTCAGGTCTTGCTTGTGATTTTTCAGATGACTCTTGCTAGCCACTGTTTTAAAAACATAATACTGGACAAGATGATGCCAGTTACATTAATTGCATTAAAATGCTCCAGTAAACTAGTCTTGGCATCTTGTGGAAATTTATTTCATGCCCAACTTCTCTAGGAGGCAGATTCTGATGTTTATAGTTTTGCTTTTATCCCTGCTAATTAATTAATTAATGCCACAGTTTGTTTTATGATATTGTATTTTACTGTTTTATGTTTGTGAGCCACCTAGATAACAGTATTACTGAGTAGCCTATATAAATGCTTTAAATAACATCTGGGTTTGGTCAGTCCTTGGAGGGAATGTTACCTGGGAAACTTATCTAGGCACTTGAATTCAGTGACAGAAAAATGTGATTCATTCATTTATGATCAAAATGTAATTGCTTCTTGGTAATCATGCTATTTGTGTTGATTAGAGTCTGGACTACGGATTTTGCACGTGGGCACTTTTCATGTTGCTGTTCTAAAAGTATTTGCAGTTCTGTTTGTAGATAAAGGTGTGGTGCCCTGTAAATCTGCTTCTTCATTTCTTGTACCACTTCTAGTGGCAAGATGGGATGGATAGGAACAGATCCCTTTGTGTACCCTTTTTCTGGCACTAGTGCAGCTTGATATGAAATGTTGGTATTAGAGTTCCAAGACATTCCAAACCGAGGTGGGGCTTGGGCTCCTGCTTTGTAGGACATTGGGGTTTTGCATATTCACATTCCAGCTCTTTGTGCATTGAAGGTCGAGCAAGAGAGCAACTGGGAAATTGAGGTCATTTTGCTCCAACTCAGTTTTATGGAGTCTTCTGTGCATCAACTGGGCCCCACTTATTAGAAGCAGTGGTCCTGCACTTATCTGTGATTGGTCAACCCATGGCAGGATGTGGGTTAGTGCTTGGCTCATGACAGTTCTAGGGACACCTGAAAAAATGAATTTCTACAACCCTCGGAAGCCAAAAAAGTCTAAGCCACAGAATAGCCTGTGCAACTCAATGAAATGGGCAGCCAGGTACAAAAACATCTGGAAAGGGCATAGTGAAGTATTAGCATTGAAAGAGAGTTTGTCAGTTCACAACTAGTAGCTTAAAAATAACATTTATTTCAGACATAGAAAGCAGAAGGCAAAGAGAACTAAAGGCCTTCCCAGAATTGGGAAAAAGTAATAATGAACGGCCATCTTGTAACTTGCAGTTTTCCCATGGAACCAACTTTTGGCTGTACTTTTCTGTATGTTTTTAAGCCATATCCAAAATCTTCACCAGTTGGAAACAATTTGCACAAGATCTTTATGTTTCTCCTTTTTTCCATCCAACAGACTTGACAGACATGTCTTTTTGACTTGGCAGTGCTTCACTTCCTCTCCCCCTCCTTTTGGAGCTTGCTGCAACTTATTTTTCTGATAACCTTCCAGGAGCTGAAGCATTGTTCAGCCACTTTAGCGCGTTAACCAAATTGCTGGTGCTGCATTTCTGTGCCCACATCTAAGAGAATGCTCAGCTGTGGTGGCATTCTCTTCAGCAGTCATACGGTAGGATTGTAGGCTTGCAAATGAGCTTTTGCCTTGTCTCCTGTGGTGAGTGCACCTATAGCTGAAGCGCATTCAGCCTCTTAGACTGTTTTCTGGTACTTGCAGTCTCCGGTTCAAATCGAAGATGGCAGAAAACATGTTCAAACAGCTCTGAAACCAGCTACTTTGCCCAACCATCCAGGTTGAACTGCAGCAGTTACCTCTGGGAAAGCAGCAGGTGGTTGCTGCAGCAGCTGTACCACAAACTACATAACGGCAGTCTGTGGTTGCAACAGGCTTCCTGTTAGGGGTTGGGGTGGCCAGATGGCCTCTTTTGTAGAGGACAGTCCTCCATCTGAAGGGCTGCCAGAGGACAATCTTCTGTTAAAAGGTATGCACTATCTATTTCTGATTTAAGGATAAAGAGCCATTTATCTTGTTCATCAAGAGTTAGCATCTGAACAGCAGATTAAACAGGCAGGTATGCAGCTCACCTGGTCACAGGCTTCTGTCCTATGGCAAGATGTACTGTTTTTCTATTTAAATTATAGTAATTACAGCTAAATTTGAGGCTATACATACAAATTAGCATATACAAATGGCTGTCCTTTTCTTGTGTCGTACATTTACTTGGGATGGTGTGGCAGTACTTCACAAGCAGCCACCCTTTTAGGAGCTGAGAAGATCAGGTAAATGCAACTATAAAAGCATAACATCTGTGCTTCTGGCCTGGGGCTTTTGCTCCCAGTGCTTTATCTTAAGGTATAGGTGGTGGACATATGAATATCTGAGGTTGCCTCAGGCTGCCCCTTGGTCCCTCTTATCCAGTATTGTATATTTTGGTTTATAACAGTTCTCCATGTTCTCCAGGCAGGGTCTTTCCCAGTCCTGCCTGCCATTTTAACGGGAGATGCCTGGATCAAACATAGGCCCTTCTGCTCTTCCATGGAGCGATGGCCCTTTGGAAGGAAGTAGCATGACTTGTTTTGTTTCGTTTTAATCTGTGCAGCCTTCCTTTCCAGAATGTAATGGCATTTGTTTAGTGTTATTGTCACACATAACACTTTTAAAAATAGCATAGCACATTTAAAGGGGAAAATGGGGCTGGAAAGAAGTGAAGAGTGCAGAATAACAGGATGACTGAAGGAAGAAATGCACATCTTTTAGGACTTTGCTGCAGCTGAAGGCAGAGCCAACAGTGATGGGGAACAAGCACTGTTGAAGGAGCATTAGGAGGAGGAGGAGGGGGAGGAAATGTGCAGAGATGTTTGAGAACAGAAGATCAGGCTCCTGAGGGTAGAGTTGGAGAAATGAAGATCGTGACTGTACTGAGAAATAAACTGAAAAGGAACACCAACCTAAAAACTTCAGGGGGCAGCGTGGGGGGAGAAGTTGTAGGGGGAACATCATGGACAAGGAATGGGTAATCTTCTATTCTCTTCTGTTCCTTCCCTGCTGTAAATTATGCCTTCCTAAAGCTGCTCCTACCACACAGTGATGGTCATTGGGGTCTTATTTACAGCCTTTTTATTGTTTTATTGTTCCTCATAAAATGAGTTATATTTGCTTGTAATGCAAATGCAAATCTTACTTCCATGTACATTTAAAGTTCTCCTCAAAAACATTTATGAAGCAGGTTCTTCTTGGGATCATAGTCCTGATGGTGCTGTGAGATACATTTTAAAATGTGGGCCAGGCAACTTGAGTGGCAGGCTGGACAAGGATTACATTGTTCCACAAACTCACACTTGCAGAATCCACAAGTACAGGTCTGTGCCCTCTTCTTGCACAACCCAGTCTGCCAAGTATGGTGGGTGTTAAAATTCTTTCACCTCCAGAGCAGAATTCAATTTCAGAAAAGCTCTCAGGGGCCACATTCCAGCACTGGGCAGGGCAAAAGGGGTGGAACAAACGTATGAACATGCCACGTTAACTTTAGCTTAAAGCTCTCATTGCCAGTGCTGAGCAGGGATGGGGAATCTCTCTCAGCCAGAGGGCTTATTCCACTTTGGATATGATCTCAGGGGCCACATTTCACTGCTCGGCAGGGCAAAAGGCAAAAGGAATGGAACCAAAATCACGCACACCAAGCAAAACAGATTCTAGTACAGCACAAGAGAGGAGGCATTTTGGTCTTTCAGAATGGGAAAATGACCTGCAGAACCTGGGAAGGCATCAGATGATTGGTGGTTGGGGAAATGAGTAGGGACTGAGGAACTGCCATAATCTTCTGGCAAGCCCCAGCGCATAGGCTGGATTTCTCTCAGGGGACTGAGGTTCAACCCCTCCATCAGTATGCTATCCCTGCAGTCTGAGGGTGCAGTTTCAGGAGCTGGCATCCTCTATATGCTCTTTGTGAGTTGCAGAGTACGAAGGAGCCAATTCATCCAATTTTTTTCACACGAAACAAGGTCACAAAATGAGTGTGATAGAATGTGCCATGTAGGTCAAGTGTCTCACTCCTTGCATAGATAAATTAAGAAAAAACAGTCTTGGGTTTGACAAATATGTCAAAGTGACTTAAGTCAGTGCTTTACCACCCTCAAATCATAGATGTCCAAGATGATGCTAGTAAAAGATGGTAATACCTGCATCTGTAATTTTCTTTTACAGGAAAAGAAGATCAGAGTATCTCTGCCTTTAACAAGAGGACCAAGTGCCTTTATACCAGAAAAGGAAGTAAGTTGTGCGTGCTTTTTATGCTTTCATTGGAAGTAATGTTGGATCAGATGCAGGCACCAATCATCTTCTGCAATATTCAGTTTGACTTCATGTTTGTATTCAGGTATTACCATGTCTCTTAGGTGAAATTTCCAGGAGAATAGCTGGCTTAGTCTATGGAAGCAAAACCAACAAGTCCTATGGCATTTGTCGACCAACCAGTTTCTTCTGTGCAAGTTTGTGTAACCCAAAGCACCCTTCCTTGAGTTTAGCTTTCAACTCCCACCAGCCATGCCATGCCAAGCCACAGGTCAGGAATGTCAGTAGTTGAACTGGTGGACACCAAACTGGGGAAGGCTGGCCTAGAGACTTCAGTTTTTCAGCAGATTTATTGTATATATTTGTTCAAAATCTTTTTGAATGCACCAAATTATTAACAATGTGTCAGATGAAGTAGGCAATGGGTGCTAATGGCACATTATGTTTTGCAGTATGAAAGGTGGTGCAGTACTCTGGCCTTTGAGGAAGAAATGGTAGCATGGGGGTGGGTCTGAAAACAGTACTTTGCTGCTGCTGAGCTGTTCGACTAAGGTTGGAGGAAATCTGCCTGTGTTCTTTCCAGTGGCCATTGCTTGGTGATGCCAAAGGCACAGGGTGTCAAGTGCTGTGCAGAGGAGCACCATCTCAGTGGGACAAGGGATGCAAAACTTCTGGCCAGGGGACTAAGATGGTCTTTCCAGGATTCCATGGAAGGCCATGGCCCTTTCGTGTAACCAAGTGACCATTTGTGGTTTTCTGGCTTCTGTGCAGTTTTTCCTCCTGCTCTAAAAGGTTGAAATACCTTTTCCAAGGTTTAGTTACTACTGGTAGTAAGAGCTTTAAGCTCAACTGTGCTGGTATTTTGACTCCACCTCCACTGGTATGTGGCCCCAAGAGCTTCACTGAAATGTAATTCAGCCCTTTGGTTGAAACAGGCTCTGCACCCCTACAGCAGAGGCACAGCAGTTGTGGAATGATTTTCCTGGGCCTGCCCATAAGCCATTTCACTTAGACAGCTAGTGTAAACCATTGTGTCCTTTAAGACTTGAATTGTGGCCTTGTGGGTGGCCAGGCTCTGGAATTCCCCTGTAGCTGCTGTTCTGTGATGTGCTTTTTTGGTTTTCAATACCTTCTTCTAATAGCCTTGTTTTTTATTTTTGTTGAAAATTATTTGGAACTTGCAGTTCCTAAAAGATACATAGGGCACGATCCAATGCTTACTGAATGCTAGCAGAGCCCATCATTAGCACAATGGATAGCCAGCAAATCCAACAATAATATGAAATGACCAGAGTGCTTGTTTCCAGAATGAGGCAGAACAGTGGAGCTTTCAGAAGAGAATGCCTCTGGTTTGTCCTATTCCAAAAATAAGTGTTTTTGCTCACTTAACAGGGTTACTGTTGGAAGTGCTGGCACTTGTTGCACAAGCAGTGGGTCCTGCTAGGCAGAAAAGAAACAGTGGGGGCCCAGCAGCATTATTGGAGACTATCCACTGTCATATCTTCTTCGGGATCCTACAGAGCTGCTCTGGCATAGTGGTTAGAGTGTTGGACTGAGACGTGAGAGATCTGAGTTCTGGTCCCTACTCAACCATGAAGTGCACTGCGTGGCTTTGGGCCTGTCACTGACTCTCAGCCTAATCTGTCTCACAGGGTTATTGTGTGGATAAAATGGAGACGAGGATTATGTAAGCAGCTTCCAAGAAAAAAGGCAGGGTATAAATATATTGAATAAATAATAGAATAATATTCAATAAAGTATATAAGTAAATAAATGCATTACCTCCTTCACTCGCTTGCTCTTCTGTGAAGGTTATGCAAGCCAACAGTTTGAATGAACGAATGCACCTTCTTGTGGAAGAATATTCTACATCTGGCCGCCTAGACAACATCACACAGGTCATGAGTTTGCACACTCAGTACCTGGAGTCTTTCTTGCGCAGTCAGTTTTATATGTTGCGTATGGATGGGCCTCTTCCATTGCCCTACCGGCACTACATTGCAATCATGGTGAGTACCAGCAAGCACTACCCTTTCATTCCCAGTCATAGATATGCCTGCATTCTTTGCAGTGAACCTGGAAATCCAACCAGACTTCATTGGTTGCCCTTTCGAGGGTGGAACAAGTCCAGCTCTTGGAGAACGAATTCCTCCTCGAGAACCTGAAATCCCAGCCTGAGACAGGATAGAGCCTGTCTGGCTACAAAATAAGGACGTGCACCCTGAGTATTAAAGGATTAGAGCAGAGCAAGATTCAGCATAGTTGACACGCAGTTGTAGATGAAGTTTCGCCATCCTGACCATTCACAGGGACTGTGTGTCTGGTTCACTAAAACACATTCTAGACCAAAGAACACTGCGTCTTGCACACTGCATAAATTATACATGTTTTGCCCTTTTATAGAACATCTGCATCATTCTGTTTCCTTATTAGCACCTTTGGTTTGTCTGAACAATTTAAAATTAATTTTGCAAAGTCTGGGTGGTAAGAAATGATCTGGAAGATTTGCCAAAAGGCCATCCAGAAAGTGCCACGGCTGAGCAAGGATTGAACCTGATGCTCTGCTGCATGAGCTGAGTGCTTGAGTCATCACAGCATGCTTGCTCTGAAAGCTTCCATTTAAAATACATAAAATGAAAGCCTGAGTTTTCAGAAAGCCAATTTTTGCAGAGAATGCATGAAATGGTGTCCATGCTGGCTGAAGATGGTGAAAATTGTAGTCCGACACATCTAGAGAGGTTCAGGTTAGGAAAGGCCAAACTAATGTATTTATATCGTGCAGTGTGTTTATATAGGTATTTTGAAGTGCTTTAAGCACTTGACATGCACTTGATCACTATATCGTCCCTAATCTATTCAGCAGTCTCTAAAACAAATCAATATTAGTAATCCCATATTGCAGGTGGGAGGACTGAGGCTCAAAAACCTAAGGCCCCAGTGAATTCATGGAAGAAGCAAGATTGAGCTAGGGACTTCTGAGGTAGTCACTTGGGATGAGGCCATGATGCTAGTGCTCAGCACTTGAGCAGTATGCCTACAGATGTTCCAAGATACACATGGCATTATTCATTAATACCCTGACTACCTTATAGTGTGTCATGTGTGTCTTTGAAAACATGTGTATTGCTTGCATAGATACCTGTCACAGTAAATAAACTGACAATTCTCAGGTTTTTTGTGTCTGTGTTTTAATGCATGGTTCTCTACCTTGTTGAAAGTGTATTGTTTTCTCTTTTGTGCCTGTGCTTGCATGCTAACCCTCTGCCTCCACCTGCAGAAGAAGAACAGGCAGCTTTAGATTAGCCCCATGCAGCTTATCTGCATCTGTGTTTTCAACTCCAGGCTGCTGCCAGGCACCAGTGTTCCTACCTAATAAACATGCATGTGGACGAGTTCCTGAAGACTGGAGGGATCCCAGAGTGGCTGAATGGCTTGGAATATGTTCCACAAAGGCTGAAAAATCTGAATGAAATCAACAAGCTTCTTGCACACCGACCCTGGCTAGTTTCAAAAGAGCACATTCAGGTATTAAGTATGATTAACTGGCATATGTAAAATGCTCAGACATTATTGTTTGGTTGAGGTTTATTTAGGGAATTCACTTTAGGTTCTCACTTCTGTGTTCTTTGTTAAATTTGTATCTTGTTTTTTCTCTCTCAGAAACCCAAGGAGCCCTCTGAGTTTCACTGGATCTTTATCTATATCCTACCTTTCTGTCATGAGTAATAATTGTCATTGAGTCAAATGCAGACAAAGAAAATGTTACTTTCAAATGTAATCCTGCTGTTGTTTCTCCACTACTGTTCACTTTCTCGCCATCCAGCAGCTTTTGTTGTTGTTTTTTCCCAAAGGCCTGTTAGACTGTTATGACATATTCCTGAGTAACATGTAGCTTGGCTTTCTGGACACAAGAGTCAACAGTGGGGCCCTGCAGTGAGGGGATGTGTTGCTTGAAGTGCGTGCACCTTAGAATAATGCCAAGTCTGATATACGACAACTCCTTGATGTATGAATTTGGTAATTGACTCAACATGACAACCCGCCCTGGCAACAAGCCACTTTGGGTTGGTTGTTTTGTGAAGTACCAGTAATGAGTCAAGTTCATTGTGGGTGCTTTGCTCTTTTCTTTTCTTTCTTTCTTTTCTTTTCTTTTTTTTGCTCCCCCTCCTTCCCCCAGGCAGTATCCCAGGGGACACCACAAGGAGGAACAAGTCTCCTCTCTCTTTGACACCCACAATCACAATCTGATTTCAGTTTGCTGTGGCTTTCAGAGTTGGCATTGTATGAACAGGACTCCTGCCCTGAAGTGCAATATGGAGAAACTTGCAGCTTCAGCTGGAGGGGGCTGCAGAGGGCTGCCTGTGTGTTGCCCAAACCAAGGCTGAAAGGTTGTGCTGTGGGGAGAAAGTTGATTTTTTTTCTTCTTTCTTCCCATAATGCAAAGAGGGCTGCTCCCTGAAGTGCAATGGGGGAGGAGATGAACAGGCACCCCCCCTACCCCCCGCTTCCTCTGGAGTAGCTTTGCTTGGATGGGTGTCAGTAAAATTAATAGGAGGAGAGGGAGTGCTTAATCTTCTCTCTACCTCTCTTTTCTCCACTCCAGTGTGTCTCTATTAAAGCAGCTTTCCTTTCTATTTTAAAGACATTGGGTCTTTCATATGCTCTTTGGTGCTTAACATATCTCAGTTCCCAGGAGCGTGCCAGTTTCTCCTTCTCTGTTGCTGTTTTAAAGAAAGCCACCCCATTTCCTCCCTCACCCAGGCATGCCTATCTTCATTGTTCATTTACTCCAAGCAGTACAACTGCTCCCTTGCTTTTCCATGCTTCCCAGATCCTTTTAAGTAGAAGTGCCAGGGTTTGAACTTCTATGTCCTTCCTTAACAGCAGTGGCTAGCCACAGTGATTGTGCTCCAAAAGGGGGGCTAACTGCATTTGTTCTCAAGCCTCTCTTTAGGGTTCTACCCATGGCCCAAACTTCCTTGGGTCCTGTCCACCCTTGTCCTTGCCCAGGTTCCCTACAGATCACAGAGATTCTTCAGCCAACCTGGTAGGGTTTATCGAAGGTTACCCAGCTGAAGCAGTTACAAAGGTCTTCCCCCCCATACTTAGGAAACTGCCACTGATCACGTTTACGAGAGGGTAATACCCATATGTATATTGGGGCAGAGGGAACTGAAAAAAGGCATAATTGCTTAACCTCTGACTCTGTGTCCATTTTTGTATTCTTAACATACAAAACAGCAGAGCCTGAACGAAAGCTCACCACCATTGCTTCTCTGCCCTTTTAAAATCAACTTAACTTACATGACCCATTCATGCTCCTTGTACATTACAAGTAACTTCGAAATTATTTGCTAGCCTTGTGTTTAATCCTCAGGGCAGAAGTCATGGACCATAACTGTACATGTGTGAGGCAAAACACATGTGAGAGTTTTACAATCTCTCCCACCACAGTTTTCTTTGATTAAAAGCAGCCACTGAAGCAGGGGAAATTTGTTTGGTGGTTGCAGGCCTAGGAGAGAGGCTTTCCCTTCTGCTGTTCTTCGATGAAAATTGCACACTTCCTCAGGAAACTACCTTTCTTTCTTCCTAGTGCTCTAGAAGTATGTTGGAGAGGGAGGGAGTGATCAGATTTCCCTCCCACCCTCTTCCTGAGAACCAAATGCTTTCATTGCTTCAGTTAGGTAGCCTTTTTAAAGGAAAGGAGACGCTAGGTGATCAGGAATGGGGTATGTGTGATAGAGGGGCTGAACTTATACAACATGACAACCCATTGTTGGTGGCATGCCACAGTGGCTTGTTGTGCCACATGACTGCTTCCTACAGAGTGACTTATTTGTGAGAACAAGCCACCCTGGCAACACCCATGACTAGTTTCAGGGGTAGGTGGTAGGGGGTTATGTTGTCCAACCTGAGCAACCAATCCTATTAGGCTTGTGGGAAGTGACCAGGGAACAACTCACCAAAACAAGCAAAAACTTCTTGCAGAACTCAGCCAGGCCACTGCCAGTAGCAGCTGCCCTACCAGCGCCTAAGCAGCAGTAGATCCACTGTCACTGGATCAGTGCCCCTTACCATGATCACAACCCTTTTTTGCTCACCAACAGGTGGCTGCCAAAATCAGACTTCATTGTATTTGGTTTTTTTTTTAAATAGGACTACTCAGGGTTTTCTGTCAGGCATACAGATATATGTATATGTCAACCCCATCCCACCCTCGCCAAGTAGCCCTGCCACAAATCCTATTTTTAAAGAGCTGTCAACACTCCGTGCTCTTGCAAATGGAGTGGCTTATACTTTTCCACTTTCCCAAGCATCTAGTCCCACAAAAGGGTGCAAAAGTGTCAGGACATTTTGAACATTCAGGTCAACTCCCAAAAAATTAGATGGTCTTGCTGCAAAATGAATAATCTAATGAATAAACACTGTCATTTATGAGCAAAGTTCATGGCAGCTTTGCTCTTCTGGAAAGATTACCTTTGGACAGCTATCAGAGGAACAGAAAGGGGAAAAAAGTATTTTCAGACTCCCTGGGTCAATGTCATGTTGACAGCAGGTGACTCCCAGGAACTGGGAGGTGAAGCTGCCCATTTTGTCTTCTTGCAAATGTGCACCTGCATTCTTGGACAAGTTCAGCTAAAAACTTTTTTTTAAAAAAGCAGTGTACAAGGGGATTCAGTGACTGATGTGAGGGAACAGGCACAGTTGCTAAATGATTGTTTTGCCTCTGTATTCTCCCCAAATCCAGACAGGGGAGATCCACATGGGTATTGGGTGCACTGGGGATTTAGGGGCACAGATTAGAGTCACCCCCCTTGAAGTCGAGGAGCTGCTCAGGGTACATTACAAAGGCACCAGGCCCTGACAGGTCACACCCGATGGTATTTAGGGAGTTGGCAGGGGTACTCCCATGCCCGCTGGCCTCCATTTTTGAGGCCTTGTGGAGAACAGGTGAGGTTCCAGAGGACTGAAGGGTGGCATCAGTGCTCCCAGTCTTCAAAAAGGGTAGTAGAGGGGAGATCGGGAATTACAGGCCAGTTAGCCTTATATCCAATCTGGGGAAGACAGTTGAAAGGCTCATAATTGGGCCTGAAAATCCTAAACAGGGGAGGGAGGTTGGCGGCCATGCAACACGGCTTCCACAAAAACAGGTCCTGCCAGACAAACCTTGTGGAATTCTATGACAAGGTTTCGAGGTGGCTAGATGGAGGGGACATGGTGGATATGGTTTACATGGAATGCAGCAAAGCCTTTGACAAAGTTCTGCATGAAATCCTGGTTGAGAAATTGAGGAGTTTTGGGATAGACCAGTGCACTGTCCGATGGATTAGGGTATGGTTGATGGACCGAAAGCAGAGGGTAACTATTAGTGAGGAATCATTGGGATGGTGGTCAGTGACAAGCAGGGTTTGTCAGGGCTCTGTCCTGGGACCAATCTTTTCATCAATGACCTGGAAGAGGGTGTGACAATTCACAGATGATACTAAAATGGGGGTGGTGGCCACAACTGAGATGCAGGTACTCCGGATCCAAAAGGGGGATATAGCAAGGTTGAAATCAGTGCAGTGAAGGGCCACAAGGATGGATTTGTTTGGTAAGCCACATGAGGAGAGACTGAGGGAACTGGGTCTTTTCAGCTTTGAGAAGAAGAACTCAGAGAGAACCTGTTAGCAACATGAGGGGGTGTCACGTGGAGGTGGGTCGTGACCTTTTTTCCCCTGCAGATGAGGACAGGACGCATTCCATGGAGCAAAGCTCGGGGAACCAAGATTCAAGGTGGATGCCAGGAAGTACTTTCTGATGGTTAGGACCCCAAGTACAGAATGGGCTTCCACAGGAGGTTGTTGAAGCTCTTTCTCTGAGGGTGTTTAAGGATAGGCTGGACATGCCCATGGAGGGCATGTCATGAGCGGAGCCAGCTGAAGCCAGGGGCCAGACTAGATGACCCAGGAGGTCCCTTCTGACTTGCTCCGTTTCTATGTTTCTATATTCCAGGTGCTTAACATTTCCCTTTTGCTTGGGCATTTTGGAAGAGATGTAATTGACTGTCAACTCAGAGATCACAAAAGCTACATCTGAAAAAAATGAGGAAGCTATGACAGGGAGAAGAAGCAAGGTGGCTTTACCCACCAAGTCCCCTGGGATATGGAGTGGAGGACCTGAGGGGAAGGATTGCAGGGACAACCCATGATGTTCAGCAGACACTGGTTATTTGCAGGGGTAGTCAGTGTAATGTGTGAGCACACCCAGGTTCAGAAAATAAACTGTTACGTTTTAAAAAATCATGGCAATACAACACGAACCAGAGGGAAATAATGCCTCTCCGATATTGGTGGCAGTTGTGTCTTAATCTTATGAAAATATGAAACATTTGTGCACATAGAAGGGAACAAAAGTATTCCCAAGAGGAATGATTCCAGCAACTAGCCCTATGCTATCTGCAGAACACCATCTAATAACCATGAGCATGCTACTACATGCAAGCTAAATTGATGAGAATCATAAAGCAAATTAGATTTTGCTCACCATGGAAGTTTGACTGATACCTGAGTCTGCAGCCAGGAAGGAAAGTTCATTCCAGCAGGTGAGACTGACTACCAACTCTGTTCCTTTTCACTTTTTTCCCAGGTCAGATCTGGCTTGATTTCTTCACTTAAGCAACTTGGAACCCTTTACTTTTTAGGTTCTTTTTTCTGCGGTGAGCCTGCCTTATGGAACATAGTCTGGATCGTGGAGGCAACAACATGGTTGTCTAGCATAACAAAGGAATCCTGTGTAAAGCATTCTGAGCTCTTCTGAGGAAGAATAGTCTTGGGGGAAAGTTATTTATTGTTTTATTTGAAATGATGCAGGTCAGCATGCTGGTAAGCATAGCTGTGCCTGCTGAAAACCCCTCACCCAGAGAGCTGTTAAGGCAAAAAGATGTAGTCCAGTGGTACTGCAGCTCAGGCCAAATCTAGCCCACCTGGATTCCAGCTTGGTACTCTGGGGTTGCGCTGTTAACCCAACTGCAAATGGTCTGGTGGCTTCCCCGCTTTTCCATGTGTCCACTGCAGTGATTCTAAAAGTTTGAAATGCCTTCCTAGTTACTAGAGTAAGAGCTTTAGGGTGCACCCCCATGCACGATGAGGCAGAAGAAAGCCCTACAAACTCCCAGCTGGGGAATGATGGGAGTAGTAGGACATTTTCTGTCCAAACATGCATAGGACTGTGCCCTTAACCTACAATATGCTGCATTTTTTATTGTTTGTCCCCGGTTCTTTTTGTTCCATCTGCCACTAGAGTGTGTCCCTGCAAGGAGTTCCCCACAGTGGAAGGCAACCCTCAGGCTGAAGGAAGTTCAACACCCTGCTAATGGGAGTAGATGGTAGCAGGCAGCCCCTTCCATAGAAAACAAACCTCAAACGGGCTGGGGAGTCTATTGGAAGCTGAGGGAAGCTGAGGTTTTTTATGACTGTGACTGTCTCCAAGGGTACTTGGCTGTGCCACTTGAACATTGGCTGGATGTTGCCGCTGCCTGGCCTTCCACCTCTACACTTGAATATTCCAGACTTGCAATGAGGGAAAAGAGCACTGATTAATGTATTAATAAAGTCTGACCAGGATACAGAAATGTCTAATTACAATCCCGATTGAAGGCAAAAAAACCCCATTCACTTTCTGCTTATGTGGCTGAGGAGTTGTGGAAGGCCAAATATTAGAATGCAGTGTTTTATTCTTTTTATGATCCACAGTTCCAGAATCAGTCCAGAAGGTTATCAATGCTGTACAATAAATGAATGAATGCATTCTGCTTCCTTGCATCAGGGGGAATGAACTTAGTGGCTGCCTGGAGGCTTTTGATTATGGTTCGCCCGACTTGTCTCTGCCAGAATGAAAATTCTGAACAGACTGTGTAACTCTGGTCTTCTTTCTGCTGAAACACTGTCTCTTTCCATTGTCTGTGTCTAACATAAATGCACAGACGTGCTTTTTTGTCTTGTTTTGTTTCAGAAACTTGTCAAGACGGGGGAAAATAATTGGTCTCTTCCTGAACTGGTGCATGCTGTGGTTCTCTTGGCGCACTACCACGCCTTGGCAAGTTTTGTCTTTGGTAGTGGCATCAATCCAGAGAGAGATCTTGATACCTCGAATGGTTACAGGCTCATATCGGTTAGCAACTTCTGTGCCTGCGATCTTGCCAATGACAACAACATTGAAAATGCGTCCCTCACAAGTAACAACTTCGGGGTTAGTGTTGCCAGTTTGTTTGCTTTTTTAAAACTCCCTGTCTGGCTTTTTTGCTAAGGAGAGGGTGGGGCAGTGGGTGGGAGCAGGAGGAGGATCCCTGCTTGTGGTTCAAATACCAGAGTGTTCCTGTGTTTGTCAGCACTTAAGCGTGTAAGTGCAGGCTTGGGATCGGAGTTGGGTAGATTGCAGGGACAGTTCCGAAGAGAGGTCAATCCAGAGCTGAGAGACTTGCACAGTGGTGCCTTTGCTGAGGAGAGGAAGTCGTGCTGGGACAGAGAGGTGGACAGAGAAATGGGGAAGGTGGCTGAAAAAGACTGGGAAGGAACTGGTCGTAGGCAACACCAACAAAGGGGAGGGGGCAGTGCGTCCTAGAAAAATGATGCTTCCTCTTATTGTTGGATCCCTGGGCTTACTTCTCGTGCACAAGTGATCATAAACTGGAAGTTTAAAAGAAGGCTGCATTCCTTGGCATTCAAAGCATTACCATCAATGGGACTTTTCAGAGAAAAGACACTTAAAATGGCTCTGCTAACATGAAATACCCTAATGCTTCTGTTTTCCGAAATCTTAACAGTGAGAAGAAGCTACTCTCACCCCCAAGTGTACGTTGTCCTTTCAGTGTGCTTTCCTGCACCCCCTACATATTTGTTCCAGTGCCACCACTGGAACTGGTAAGCTGACTGGGAGAAACACCTGAGGGCAAGACAAGCCACCTTGGGATCTTTGCAGAGGAAAAAGTTGGAATATAAATATAATAAATATATGAAATAACAACTGCACGAGGGCAACCAAGTCCATTGTCTTGGCATGTGAAAGCACTTACTTGCCAGAGCCAATAGAAGCATGAAGTCTGGAAGCATTTAGCCATGCCCAAACCCTAGAGGGCAGTATTACCCCCTTTCCCTTTTACTTTGCCTCCTGTTGAACGCCTGGTCCCGACAGAAGCATGTCTAGCTTCCAGAATCCTTAAGGATAACTTCTTTGAAGACCATCAGTGGATGTGTGTGTGGTCTTGCAGGACAAAATGAAAAATTAACCCAGATGAAGGAGCTATAAAGAGTTACTCTGTTTTTTCAGACAGCTAGAAATGGCTTCTTCAGGCAACTTTTACATTACTTATCAACAACTTCTGCAGGGGAGTGAATTGCTAAGAGCCAAATTAGGCCTGGATCACTGCCAAGCATTTAAAAATGATTGGGTGGGGGTGTTTTGATGGGGGAGAGATGCTTTAACCCTTCTTCCTCCCACTGCTTTGTCCCTTTCCCCAGCCTTGGTGACCATATTTCTAGGAAAGTAACTGAGGATAGGACTGTAGTGAAGGCATGGCTGATGGGGGAGGCTGTAAGCACCATTCCTCCAGATATGGTCCCCTTTTCTACCCTGTGCCCGATTCCTGACATTTTATGTGTTTGGAGACCAAGGCTTCCCAAACCCAGGTGTTCCATCAAATGTCGAGTTTGGCCCTTGGAGCATTTCAGATTACTGAGTGCAAAATGTCAGCAGACTGGGAACAGGAATAGCATTCACACCTTAGGCTGCTTCCAGATGGATGGTCCCAGCACCCCTAGTCGAAAGACATTATGCAGCTCTTCTGCCATTCCCTCTTGAAAGGATGTGATATGATAATAAAAAGATGTTAAAAAATGGTAAGAAAACAGTGAGAGAGGGTTCCAAATAGAAGCCAACATCACCTGGTTACAACCACACCCCTCATAAAATGTGAGTGGAGCAGGAAGAATGTACAATAAAAAGCACCCATAGGAGTAACTTTGATGTAAAAAGAAAGTTTAGAGGTTCTCAATATATGGGTTACAGCTTCATTTGGATGGCCAAAAAATGGTTTGGAGCATCCTTGAGTGGATTAGCTCAGGATGGAGAATGTTTCAGCTCCAGAACTTTTTTTGCCTTCTGGCTTATCCCCTATGGGGACAGACGATGGCATGCAGTGGGCTCCTTCCTCCATCCTACCCCTTGACATCAGAGGGGCCCCTTTCTCTCTGCATGGAAAGGCATGAGTGGTCATCCCTGCCTATCTCTGCACAGAAAACAGGCAGTCCCTCTCAGCTGTAGACAAAGGCCTCCAGTCAGTGAATGGAGAAAAGCATGGAGATTCTCTGCCAGTGCTAGAGAAAGGCTGCCTTGCCCTCCTGCTAGAAAATGTGGAGTAAGACCAAATTCATCCCACAGGCAGGACGTTCCACCCCACAAACTAAGTGACAATAGCTTGTGGGCTTGTAGAATTTGGGCTGGTGAGGACACAACAGCAGGCAGGATCTGAAAAGAACTAGAAGAACTTACATCTTGGTGGCCAAGGCTAGCAGGAGTGCAGCTCTATAGGAGCATGACAACCACACAGAGAATGAATGTGATGCTGGACACAGAACTGAGCTTCCTGAGAATCTTGGAGGGCAATGATCTGCTCCGTCCTGCAAGGGATAAATGCTGGCATAAAGCCTGGAATAATGCTGTCTGTCTTCAAGAGTTTTTAGTCTTCCAATCCATAACACCTCTCCCAACTTGTGATGTGTTACAGATCTCAGATTCTTTAAGTGAGCTGGAAGCCCTGATGAACAGAATGAAGAGGCTGCAGGAGGAGGAGGAGGAGGCCTCCCAGGAGGAAATGGATACTCGTTTTGAAAAAGAAAAGACCGAGAGCCTCCTAGTGTTTACTGACGGTACAGCTTCCTATCTCTCTCCTTCCAGTTCCTTTCATTTAATTCAGCTTTCATGGGTATTGCTAAAGAGCAGACTTGGCATTAAGTAAAAGGACTAGTTTTGCTTGCTAGTGACTGCATTGAGGTCAATTTATACATGTGTAGAAATTAGAAGGGGAATGGGACTGCATTGCTTCTGATTGTAGGTGGAAGACTGTCTCAGAATGAAACAAAAGCATCTCTGTCCTAGCCCACAGAAAAACAGCACTCCAGGCTCTAGCCTAGTTTTCACTCTGACATGCAGCCTTTTAGAATAGTGCTGCAGTCAAGTAATTGGTTAGCCACCTGCAGTCTGAAGCGGTTTACTGCGGGGGGGGGGGGCGCTGTGCCACGGGGACTTCCCTGTCGAAATCAAGAAGCAGAGCAGGGTTGTCAAAGCCAGTGGTTTGACTGAGCCCTTCCACACAGGGGTGAAACTTGTTTCTGTAGAGGACCAGATTCCCTTGGGGATAATCTGTCAGAGGCTGCATGCCAGCAGGGGGTGGTGCTGCCTCTTTTTCTCTCACTTTTCCTCCCCAGCCAGCTGACTGGAGAATGGAAGAAAGAACGCTCTTGCCCAAAGCCCTGAACAAATCGTTTGTGAAGAGCTTTTAAAATTAGGTCCGTGGCAACAGGTCCTCCTTCTCGGGGGCTTGTTGTGTGAAAGTAACATTGCATGCTTGCATAACTGTCTGATAGAAGGAATATTTGTTCCTTCTATCAGACAGTTGGGACACAGCAAGGAAAATGTCTAGGTGATACATTTCATTTGCTTTACAAATCAAGAGGCGGGCAGTATGTGGGCTGCATGCAGCTCCCCTGGCCCTTTGCAGCCTTCCCTTCAAAGCCCCTGCTGATGCTGTACTGCTTCATTTGCTGCCAAAAATTTGCAGGTGGTGAGGAAAAATAGCCTGATTTTGAGAGCCAAACTGCAGCTTGCCTCCAAAATTCAGCAGCATTGCAGCAGCACATGCAAATGAACCCCTTTTGGCCTTTAAAAGTAGGCTATTATCCCTCACTGCCTCTCTACCAAATTTCAGCAGCACAGAGGCAAGGATGCAGCTTGGGGCGGGGAGGCACAGTGCAGGCCACAACCCTAGAGGTTGCCCAACTATGGTGTAAATGTAGAGAAGCTGGCAGAGCTGCAGGAAAATTGTCTAATTTTTCCAGTGGCAATGCTAGAGGATAGAATGATGGTTTGGCATCTAATTCACACTATGTTGACCTTTAATTTGGATGTGGCAACCTCTGAGCATTTGCTGGGTAGGGAGTTTGGCCTTGTGTCTGATTTGAACTTGATGCCTGCTGCCTTAAAGCACTTTCTTCACTACAGTTCTGTTCCATTGAATTGCTGTGCCTTCCTGTCTTTCAAACCAGTATGATAGTGTGTAGCGTTAAATCCAGTAACCATAGGAGAAAGGAGCAATTTAATGGAATGCAAAAGGCTAGGCTGGCATCCCCATGCAGTAGACCAAAGCTACCTGCCACATCATCCCCAAACATGTATGCACCATAGCTAATGTTGATACACATGTAATAGTTGAATAATATAAACAAAATGGTTATATTTAAACATGACCAGTGATTAACAATATGAGGAAGCTGAGCAATGCATTTGAAAAGTAGTCCAATAAAATGGGAGATGTGACATCTTCTGAACTAAAGACCCTTCATGCCTCTTAGAATGGAACATTTAATGGGTTAAAGTTTTCAAAGACAAGCAGGGCAGACAAACTCTTGTACCTCTTGGCATCATCACCTGGAAATCTAGTCATTTAAAAAAAATCCTGGCATGGCCCTGCGTCTAGATTGGTCCAAAAGAGAATGCAGGAATCACTCATAAACCAAAGGGCAACTCCAGGCTCAGTGGCTTAGATTTTTTTTTAAACTGCATGGCCGACCTATTTGGATGGTTTCCAAGCAGGTTTCTTCCCACACAGAGTTACATTTTGATTTTCTAATCAACCAGAGCAAAGATAGGCAGCTTTGTGATTCTTGGATGCACTGAAGTAGGGTGTACATGCATGTGCATGCATTGATGTACTACTGGTAGACACAGAGCTGGTTTCCACACCCACCTTTATTGGAGCACCTGAAAGTAAGCCAAGATGAAGCCTTGAAGTGCACTGCAGCCAACCCTGTGGCAGTCAGCACTCTGGGAGGATAGTTAACATCTCAGGCCACCTGGTCACTTGGCAAGCAGACAGGAGTTAAGGTAGTTGAGAAAGTATCTGAATGATGCAATTAGCCTTATCCAGGCTACCAGTATTGCTGGAGTTCTTCAGTGGCACTTGCTTTATGTGGCTTTAAGCCATAAATCACCTTGCTGCATTGCTCATTGATATCCCAGCAGCCCCAATTTAAAGGCTCAGATTTGCTGAAGTGTTCAGTGTTTGGTATCTCTCACAGTATCTATGGTGGTTGAAGCCATGTCTTTTCCAGTGTGCTGAGAAAGGGCAAATAGCAGACTTCCTCAGGCTGTGACATCTGCATGGCTGACTTCTTGTTTCAAACACAGGAATGTCTCCCAAAGAAGGATCCTAGTCCTTCCTGGAGATACTTGGGATTGAACCTAGGGCCTTAGGCATGCAAAGCATGTACTCTCCCATTGAATTATGCACTTTCCATTGTTCACCATGGCCTTATTCCAGGTCCTCCCCACACAGTGCACTCTGATTGCCTTTTGAGAACGCATTCAGGCAGAGATCATAATATGTGGCCTGGGATATCCTCCAGAACTGATACAGCCACCTCCAATGGACTCCCACAGTAGTAGCAACTGACAAAAGGTGATGTTGATATGTGAACGGTCCAAGGAACAGGGTTAAATGCATCAGTTCAGATGCATCCCTTGAGACAGCTGGGTATAATCTGGGGAGCAAATGTTTAGTTTAGTGATGTGTACCATATTATTGAACCAAAGGGCTGGCTGCTACATGGAACCAGAGCACCCGCCCCATCACAACTTACCATCTCTACTGTAAACATTGAGGTCTGCTTTTTCTCAGTTCCTGCACAAGTAAGCTCTGCTTAACTGCTCTGTTCAATTTCTTATGCCAAAAACTTCCATCAGGCCAAGTTAACATAGCCCATGATAAAAGATTATGTGGATTGCTATCCAACAACTTCTGAACAAGCACACCTCCATCCCTGATCTAACTTTCAGTCAAGCCCATCATTTGTGGCCCTGTGAATCTGCAGTTTGACTTTCTCTGATAGAGCAATTGGGTTGTGCCTCGATCTTGGGCTTTGGTTATTTTGAACACCATAGTATTTGCCTGTTTCCATTCCCCTATTCTACACTGTGTGTTGAAACAGCATCTCCAGCAGAGAATAAATGTTCAGTTATATTTTGCCTGGATCTGAAGTTTAAAACGTTGAAATAACAGAAGCAAGAACCACTACCCTCCTACATACAGAAGTGAAACTGTGTCAGAGCAAAGCAAATGAAAACCCACAGCAAATTCCCTATTCACTACCTCATTGCTGTCTTAGGCACATCTTTTGAAAGAAATGAGAAAAGTGCAATTAACATCTGACATACTTTTCTTTCCTAGTGTTTGATGATGAGCTAGTTTCCACAGTAGATGTTTCCCGCTATGTTGAAGATCCTGGTTTTGGATACAAAGACTTTGCTAGACGAGGTGATCTCCCAACCTTCCGAGCCCAGGTAGGTTGATACGAGTAAACCTTTCTTCTGGGGTAAGTGTATCTTGGTACTTCTCAAAATATCACAAATAAATAAATGCAATTGCATGGTTATTAGTGGATGTCCGAATATAGCTTTTTAAAATAGCACAAGTAATTGTAGAGGAAATCTCAGTGATTAAATTGACTTAAGGAAGTTCATCAAAAGATGGTTTCCCATTCTGTCCTCCCAAACTCCCTGAAAGCCATCTCCAGGAGATTGGAAGGCCCCTGAGGTGGACAGTTCTAGGGAAGGAAGTAATTCCTGAAAATCTGACAGAGGCAAATCCAATTATGGGTGACTCTTGCATCCCCCAGCGCTGTCCCATGCCCCATTCCACCTGGTAGGGATGGTCAAGTGGGGACAGTTGAACCCTTGGACAGGTTTTTTGAGGTGTGCACATGGCTGTACGGAGAACCAGATGATAGCAGTTTCTCCTCCTGTAAACCAAATATTCCTTGCATTCCAAGGCATTGTCTTAAGTTTGATTTCTGTGATGGGGAAATCCTCTTTCACAGGTTGGGAGGAAGGCTAGGCTAGGATGCATTCCTCTTACTATGCTAGGGGTTTTTGTGCAGGGTTTTATACAAGAGAGAACAACTGAACATATGCAACTGCCTTTCTGCCGTGACAAACCTAAGTGATAGAAGGCATGCTTTGTGTACAGAAGGTCCCCAGTTCAATGCCCTGGCATATTCATGTAGGTTTAGGAAAGAATCCTGCCCAAAACCTGGGAAAGCTGCTACCAGACAGTGTTAATAGTGCTCAATTCGATGACACAGTGGTCTAAGGCAGCTTCCTATGTTCCTCTATTTATTTATTTATTTATTTATTAAAACATTTTTATGCCGCCCCATTCGCCGAAGCCTCGGGGCGGCTTACAACATAGATAAAACAAGTTAAAATCCATATAAAATAATCTTAATTAAAACTCACATTATAAAATAAGCCGCCCTGGCCAGATAAAATTCAATTGTATTTAGCATTTAAAATGTTGCTTAAATAAAAAGGTCTTAGCCTGGCACCGAAAAACAAATAACGACGGCGCCAGGCGGACCTCTCTGGGGAGCGCATTCCATAACTTAGGCGCTACCACTGAGAAAGCCCTTCTCCGAGTAACCACCCTCCTAATTTCTCTCACGGAGGGCTCCCGGAGAAGGGCCTCTCCCGCCGATCTCAGGGGGCGACTGGGCAAATATGGATGTAAGCGCTCCTTCAGGTAACCAGGTAATAATGGGTCTATCCAAGTATGGTTGCCTTGGCAAACAGTGTGTGAGTTGGTACTACTGCTGCAGCCTGCTGTTACAGATGGGCAGTGCAGCTTATTTCTGAAGCTGGTGAAGGTGAGTTGCTGGCATGGCTAACAAACCACCCACAATGCATGGGCTGTTTTAGGGTTGTGGGTGGTTTGCCAAGCATGCTAGAGTTTATCATCACTGGATTTGGACATGTCTGTCACAGCTTAAATACTTGAAAAGGGTGCCTGCACATGCTGAAACTCCCTGTGGCCCAAACCTGTGGTGATCATGCAAACTGGGTCCCTGGCTCTCCAAAGTCCTGGGCACAATTTCTAGCCATGTTGTCAACCTTTTCGCAAAGATGCTGGGGACTAAACTTGGATCTATATGTATTCAAAGTTTGTTACGTGCTATGGTTTCTCCCCTGGCATGTTTAGATACAGACTCCAGTGGAAAATGGTACAATCCAGGAAGGATGGTAAATTCTTCTAATTTACAAATACTTGGAAATTCTGCACTTTTAAAGTGGTCCTAAGACATTTAAGATAGGACAAATGCAGCTTCATAGAATGGTTCCCATTTTATTTAGCCATTGTAATTTTACTCCGTTCTTAGTATGAATTGCTCAGAGCAGTTTTCATATGCCCCCCAGCTTACAGGACTGGTACCATTTAACTTCAGCAGTAGAGCTATAGTTTATATTTTGTATTAAAGATTTTCATATACTGTCATGATACCTCCTGATGTGGAATTGTCTATAAATTTAATAGAAATAACAGTAACAACTGCAATGATAAGTAATAAACCTTCATCATTTTTGGTGGTCTTCATGCTTCTTGCAGGACTATACCTGGGAAAATCATGGATTCTCCCTTGTGAATAGGCTTTATTCTGACATTGGACATCTCCTGGATGAGAAGTTTCGGATGGTCTACAACCTCACCTACAACACTATGGCCACCCATGAAGATGTTGACACAACCATGCTAAGAAGAGCTTTATTTAATTATGTTCACTGTATGTTTGGAATCAGGTATGTAAGAAATGGGCTTGGTGATGAGTATATTTAGAGCCATTTTGACATGTAATGTGTTCTGTCTGTAATGAACTGAAATAGAGGTATTGTAGCAAAGTGTTTTGAATTCTGTTTGAAGTTTGAAAGAGAAGACATGAGCGAGATGGTTGAAGAATATTATATAAATGAATGTACATTATTCTAACGAAGAACAAACATAAGCACCAATTGAAAGGAGGAGGTTATCCACAGGCTTTCTTCAAGCCTCTTTTCAGCAGCTGTTCTTTAATGGGATTGCATAAGAGTTAAAGCATTAACCCCACTGGTCACTTAGGGCCAAACTAGCCATGATGATCAGTGTGCCTTTTTAGTTAACCTGCAGGGTGGGGGCACTCTTGCTTTTAAAAAGCATACAAATGGGGGAAGGGTGATAATTATCAGGACCACGGCAGTTGGAGAGGGAGCACTTTATTCCTTGTTGCAGTCCTGAAAACAAAACATGCTCCTCCAAAGCAGTATTGGGAGGAAATTTCCCATTGGTACTCATGCCAAAGAGAAAATAGGTAACTGCTTCAGAAGAGAGATTTTCATCCAGACATCACTAGGGGAGGGGAGGGTTAAACCCTCCCTCCTGGAGGATTATCAGCTTCCATTGCCCATTCCTCACCCAGCAGTTGCTCCTATATTTCATAGAATGTGGCAGCCAGATTGTGGTCTGCTGTTGAGATTACATTATGGCATTCTTATGTCAACACATGGACTTCCAGTTGGTTTCTGGGCCTGATTCAACGTACTGGTACATAGCTATAAAGCTCCAACTGGGTCAAGGCCCGAATATCCGAAAGACTGCCTGCTCCAATCTGATCTACGAATAGGCTGAGATCATCCTTGGAGGCCATGACAGGGAGATAGGGCATTTTCTGCAGCAGTACGCAGGTTATGGAAGCCCCTTGCAGAGGAGTAGAGAGTAGCCCCATCCCTGATAGTATTTGAGCAGGCAGTGAAAGATTCTTACACTGCTTTGCTTCTCACTGGATGCTAATATACAATTGAAGGTGTTAGCTCCGATTCATTTAAGGCACTCGTTTTAATTTTTCTTTGACACATTTTGGTTTTTGTTTAGTTTTGTAAACTCCCTTTTTTAGTGTTTCAAATTGGTTTAGGATGAAACCTGTTAAGTTCAAAAAGAGGTATCAAATAGTTTTATAAATAAATAGCAAGTTCTTTGTTGTGGTCTCTGTGCATCACACATATGGGTGCTGAGCCTGCACAGTATCTTATTCAGGAAAATTTCTCTAGCTTAGCCTAGAACTTTCTGAAGGAGCCTTCTCTCCCCCCCGCCCCCCCCAATAAAACATGGGTCCCCACCATTTTGTCAGTTAGCTTTCAACCACAAAGTGCAGAGATTTCTCTTGACCTATTCACATTTTACCTCACAATCTCACTTTCCATTGATCTGTCACTGATCTTGTTCGAAGCTCTTTTTCACTTCTACCTACGCTCTTTTCTTCCTCCCTTAAAGTACACATTAAATTCAGGTTGCATTTGACATCACTTATTGTTTGACCTTTATACCCTCCCACGCATTTCAAAAAGAGGGACAAGTTTTTCAGCAGCAAAGGGAAGAATTACATGCCTGCTTGTCTCTGGAAATCAAGCTGTCCCCACCATTTCACAGCTGTTCAGCAACTCATGTTCCCTCCCGCTACTAAACATCTAGCTTGACTACATAGGAGCAGTATGCAGGGTTGTCCTCTTAAGCCTGGCCAAATGTGTTGTGACATTGGGCCTGAAGAACCACATGAAAGTAGATTCTTTCCAAATACGTTTAATTTATTGTCTGACGAATCTAATTAAATTATACCATGTCAGGATTTTGAGAACAGACTTCAGGCAGGTCTACTTTGTCACCCAGTCCCTAAAGCTGGATCAGTAAATGAAAACCCCTGCTAAAACGGTCTGGGCTGGAGAGATTCAGGCTGCCTTAATCTTTCTTAGGTATGATGACTACGATTATGGAGAAGTTAATCAGTTACTTGAACGGAACCTGAAGGTTTACATTAAGACGGTGACCTGCTACCCAGAGAGAACTACCAAGCGCATGTATGATGGTTACTGGCGCCAGTTCAAGCACTCGGAGAAGGTGAGTGTCTCCCCATCAAACACATTGGCTTATATTTTCCTCATGGTTGTCAGCAAGAGAAATGTCACTGCCATGGAGGAAAGCTTCCCCAACCGTAAATGGAGCAAAAGCTCATATAGCACTAATGAGTCGTTCTTCATAGTCACCAACTACTTGGACAGCTGTGAAGGTTGGAGCAGTGTTATCATTAAAACCACCATTAATTATGGTGGGGCATTATAAAAAGAATTTGGTAGGTCTGTGATGTATGTAGGTAAACCATCACTTAATTTCTTATTAGATTTTTATCCCACCCTGTTAGCCCCACAGCTCCCTGGGCAGGTTACAGACAGTAAAATCATAGAAAAGACCATATCAAACATTAAATACACAATATTAAACTCCTGTTAAACACTTGATGCATTCAACGAGCAGTGGACGTGTACATGTGAAACTGCCCTTTTAAGGTTCACAGTCACAGGGTGCCGTTATGTGCATGTCATCGTGAGCAGCAATGTTGTGCATGTTTTTCTTTTTTTACATTTTTGCACGTCAGGTCCACGTGAATCTTCTTCTTATGGAGGCTCGCATGCAAGCTGAGCTGCTCTATGCCCTTCGTGCCATCACACGTCACTTGACCTGAAGCGCCGCTGCAAGTGTGCGAATAAATCTTCCAAACAAGTTGCACAGTGAAGAAAACTGCCTATGGTGTAGCATCAGGTTATTGGATTTGCTAGTGTCAAAAGCTGAAGCCACAATTCTGGCGGCTGTTAATGTGCAATGATGAGCTGTATTTTCTTTTCTTTTTCCTTGATGCTTAACATTACTAATGGTAGCAAGAGTAACACTGAGGAACACTACTTAAGTTGTTTCCAGTTGGAGTATTGGTCACAAACCTGAAATCGGTTTGTTATATTTGATTTCTTCTCACCCAGAAGAAAAACACAGTATTTCTTTTGAGGTTCTGTTTTCAGCCACCCCACCCTTGCTTATATGAATAGAATCCAGTAAGGAATTTTCTTTCTCCCCACCAATCCCAACCTCCTTTAATTCTTTCTAGGATGTTATAATGCAGTTTTCCTAAATCCAATATATGCCGTATTTTAAACTGAACTGCTCAACTGGCTTATTCTTACATTTTTTCGTAGAAATTTAGTACTTCTATTCAGTGGTAGTTTGGAGGTCATGTGGAAGTTGATGCAACTATTGTCTGCCCCGTTCCTTTCTTTTTTTAATGTGAAAGGAACTGCTGCGAATTTTGCAGCATGCTACTGAGACACAGCATTCAAATACAGCACCTGCTTTTTTGAATGAATGACTGGGGTTTTGCCATATCCATTTCAACTGTACATACTGTTTCAGGGACTGCATCCTCCACTTTTGCCTAGAGTTGCTCTCTAAGCTTAACCCTAACCTCTAGTGATGCGTTAAGGGCACTCAAAAGCCCGATCAGCAATCTATTACAGGTTGGTTTTAAAACATTTGTAAGATGTTTAAATTAAAACTCATTCTTTTAACTCGTTCCTAGTTACAGGAGTAATGTGGAATCTGCAACTTCAACACATACTAATTAAACAAAAAACAATCTACTTGACTATGTTGTTTCAAAACTATCAAGAGCTGCCTTGTTTTGTGTCAGACTGCAGGTCCATTTAGCCCAGCGCTGCCTGTCCTGGCTCTCCAAGGACTTGGGAAGTGGTCTTGCCTCAGCCCCTGCTGCCTAAAAATCTTAACTGGAGATGGCAGGGGTTGAACCCAGGGCCTCGTGCATGCAAAGTCTGTATTTGCTGAGCTATAGCTCTGCTTTCCGTGACAGCTTTGCTTATATGGACTTTTACTAGGTCAGACCTTCTGTCTGTCTAGCCAGTACTGCTTATTTGGCTGGCTGTGGCATTCGCTTGAGGCCTCACGTGGACAGGTTTCCTAACTTTACAACTGGAGGTCCTTTTAACTGGTAGCGTGAGAGGTTGAACCTGAAACCCTCTACATGCAAAAGAATGTGCTTTACCATTGAACTGTGGCCTCCTCTTCTTTCTTCCACTGCTGTTTCTCTCTGTCTCTTTTTAATTCAGTGGTTAACTTGTTAGTTAGTCTTTAGCTGAAGCTTTTCAAAATTTGAATCCCATCATGTTTCCTGGAATCATGGTGTCAGAACACTTTTTAACATTTTAAATCTATTAATTGTGTTTCTATGTGTTGACATGAGTGAACAAAGGAAGTGCAATATTGAGCAGAAAGGCAAGCTTTCCCTTACAAACTCACTGCTTGAAATAGCCCCTTCAGAATGGCTGGGGTCAAATGCTTTCCCTTCCCGAACTCTGCTAGTGCCCATGGCTTGCTTGCCTTGAACAATCAGTTACTACCATGATGCCAAAGCATCCACTGAGTGAAACAGATGCAGGGCATGTTTCCCCAGGCACTTCCTCACATCCTCTGTTCCTTAGAGTGGAGAAGCCTCGTGCAAGCTCCAAAGACAGGAACACAGAATGTGGCGCAGCAGCACTTGCTGGAGCGTGCCCACTGACAGCTGGCATTGTTAGGAAAGAGAAGTGCGCTGCCAAAAAGGTCACCCATTTGCATTGCTTGACTACGCTTTTTTTTTAAGAGCACAAAATGTCAGTGTTTTTATAGCTTTACTTTATGTTGTCTTTAATGATTCGGTGAAGTGCCTGAAGGATATGCCCACAAGGATATGAGAGTGATGTTGAGCTGATAGCTTCACTCCAAGAAGTGTTAGTCACAGCTGAGTCCCATTGAAAGCAATCACCGCATCACTTTCTTATATCCTGTTACATTCTCAAAGGGCCATACAAGGAGCTCTGCTGTCCTGTAGCCTTTGGTTGGGGTACTCAACACTGATGTTAGTTTATTCCTTCAAGATTGGCTTTGTTTTGATATGCATGGGAAATAAATGAAATTGACATCCTTTTAGTCCAATAAGCTGCAGAAGGTAATATAGCATAACTATTTAAGTTGAAGGCTTCCATAATGGTTTGTTTTATGAGAACCATTTTGGAAGTCTTTCCATTTTAAACAAGCAAACAAACAAACTATGGACAAGAATTTGGTTGGGTTTATTTTATTGATCTTCTAAAAATGGAATTGTTCTCAGTCTTCTGTTGTCTAATAATTATTGTGACATCATGCCACACCCCCACACACCCCAGCTGCTGAAATAATTGTTTGTTGTTCTATACATCCTCTGTTTCTGCACTTGGAATTGCAGGTTGCTTTTCTTTTGCATGGAAACCCTCTGAGGATATAGCTACACGACAGATAGCATATTGGTTTGTATTGTCCTTTGACGAGTGTGCTGTGAATTCTCTGTTAAAAATATCCTCTTACACACTTCCCAAACAATCTCTTGGCTTCTCGGGAGACGATTAAATCATTGAATTATGTTGTGTAGCTATGCCCTATGCAAAACCTTGTATTACTTGAGGACAGCTGTTTGATGACCAGAGTATTGTTGGAAAGCATGAATAGTAGTTAGTTTATCTATCTGGGTAGTGAAAGTGAGTGGTTTTCTTAAAAGTTTTAAGCCACAATTTAACACTGTGAAGTGTGGCATTGGATTTGACGAGTGTGCTCAGCCATCTGCACAGGCAAGTCCAGCTGGTAGCACAGGACGCTCATATGCAAAGGAGAACTTAAGCAGGTATCCTTTGGTTGGGAGCAGCAGCTATTACAGAAGCCAGGTGTACTTTCTTCTGGCAGCATGGAATTGATACATCCAAAGTCACCTTGACTCATGGCGGAGTCAGTGGGACTTGCAACTCCAACTGGATTGTGGCTTTGAAGCAGAACTGAAATGGACAGGTGAAGAAAGTTAGTCTCTGCCAAATACCTGCAAAGCATCTGGGGAAAGGGTGTTTGTCTTGTTTTTTGGTTAGGAAGAAGGTGTCAAGTTGGGGAAGGAGTGTCTGGCTCATTCCCTTGAATGCCCTTTTCCCTAACTCTGTTCTTTCCTGGATTCTGGACACTTGTTTGCATGGGGCAGAGAAAAACAGACAGGAAAGGATGTAGGGAGAAGCAACAGGTGAGGACACTCTGGCCCCACCACTCTAAAAATATTGCATCTGCTTCATACTTAGGAGTAGTTAGAAACACAAGCTGACTTGTGTATATAACTGTAAAAGCTTTAACTCTTTCTTCAGAGGGGTTAGTTTTGTTTATTGAGAAGTTGGTGTTCTAATTGTGAAAGCATTAGTGCCTTTTCTTGTTTCTTTTTTATCATTTAAACTGAATAGTCATCTCACCAAGAGACAAATAGATTTTAATACTAGAAGCCTCTGTCTGTGTTGACTTTTTCTCCCTTTGTGAAATGTATAAACTGTCAACAGATGCATAAACTAGATTTCAGATGGTGTCAGATTGGTATGTGGCATTCGCAGTTGGAACCTGCTGTTGAGAAGTAGTGTTTCTCCTTAGAAGTAGAATGGCTCACTTGAATGTTATGAAATGTTTCCAAGGTGGTTGATACAGAGTATACAGTAATGTGGTCCTTATTTGGTGCATAGCTTTATATATACCCAAATGTGATGGGTGTCTGTGCGTGTGCACACCACTTTTTACATGCTGACATTCAGATTACGCATCCAAGTGAACATGATTGTACCTGGTTTGCTTGGCATACCCCTTAAGCTCACAAATGTGCCAAATGGGGTTTTTTTTGGGGGGGGAGGATAAGAAAAAATAATACATATGAATGTGAATGAAGCCTCAAACTTCATGGGTTAATGGCTGTCAGAAATGTTTATCAGTTCTTTGCAATGTAGGGATGTGGGGGGCGGGGGTCTGTGTGTGTGTGTGTGTGTGTGCGTGTTTCCTTCCCTTCGTCTGGGTTTACATGAGATGCCAGCATCTGTGCTCCCTGGACCAAAATCTGTCCTTGTTGTCAGTCAAGGGACAAGAGAAATGTGTAGACAGGACCATAGGTAGCAATAGTTGCTGCTAGCAAGTTAGAAGACCTACGGGTTCTGTGGAACAGTATGGTAGGATATCAGTTCCCAAATCTCGGGAGGCTTTTGTTGGGACTTTTGCTGCCACAGAGTATATAAATGGCCCCTGGACAGTTGCTCATTGCTTCTGCTAAATTCATATCTTCATCGGATTTATTTAGGGTGGGCTGGAAATGGTGCAACAAATCAGATTTAGCTTTTGAGTAAACAAAAAAAAAAATACCCCAAGCTGAGCCAGATATTTTAGATGTAGGAAAGGCATGTGTGTTTGTGTATGTATGAGTGTATGAGACTAGGAATGGAACGAAATGAAATGCAAAATGTATGCTGGCCTGGGAGAGTTTTTACAGGCCAATCCTACATTCTGAAGAAAGTTCAACTGGGTTTGGTATAGTTTACTCCCAGTAAGTCTGCCCTGAACCATGACCTTTACTCACTTGCATTTTATGTTATCTACTGAGGTTGCTGTCTGGGGTATAGGAATGACAATGATCTGAGGAGTAATTAGAATATATTCATTGGCTCTGGCATTTTACATGAAAAGAGCTAAAGCCTGCATTATGAGAATTCAGATTCCGCACCTGGAATGAATGATGCTCTCATTTTGAAGGCTTGCATACATTAAATTATCAGCTTGCTGTAAACTAGGTTTGTGCTTTGAGAGGGCCAAACACCAAACTAAATGAACTCTTCTGTGGTCTGCTGGCTGCCATAAAGATTTCCAGAGCCTTGACATATGTTTAGTCCATCACTAGTACTTTCATCTTGCATTTTGCAAACCCAGAGGCACATTCCTAGTTGCTACTGGCAATTGCCCATCCTCTCACTGATTCCATTGTGTGAAGCGATAATAGAACATGCCACTGTCTCTTTTCATGTGAAGCTCTGTTTGTACCACACTGAATAAGACCTGGTTTACATTGTTTTCTTAACTCATAGATTGTTGAATTCTGAGTGAGAAGTGCACATACCCATATCAACAAACCATGGTTTGTTAACTACAAACAACCTAGAAACAGCCATGATTTTTTGCTGGGGTATGTACTCTGGGTTGTTTAAACTATGGGTTTGTCATTATGTGGGAACCCCCAACTGTGGGTTATCTATGGTTATTAAGGCAAGCAATATAGACAGTGAGCAAGAGTAGTACAAAGAAAAACCCAATCACTTTGCATGCCACTAGTACAATTCCACAAAGACATTTGAGCAGGAGAAAGGGGAAGGAAACGAACAAGCCAGGGATTGGAGAAAATAAACCAATTCTATCATCTGCCAAGCAGATGGGTTAGCATAAATAACTATGTGTTAGCATGATGTGCAAACCAGGTCTACATACTGTTGGAAAAATATTAAGGGGGCATCTTTCATGATGATCTCTGCAAACTGGATCTTCCCATCTACACCTGAATTGTGTCAGCCAGGCCGTGCCAAGCAAAGATGGACTACTGTTACGAGGCAACCCTTGTAATGGTCCAGATGTGTAGCTGATGTAGAAGCACCTTAACACTTCATGTTCCTCACTTAAGAGGTATACAACCTCCTATCTTAACAGGTCTTTCCCCGGGAAACAAGGTATGCTGGATGGCACATGTATCAGTCTCATATTTTTAGGTGGCACGGAGGCAATCTTACAAGTTTGTTTAATAGAAAAGTCAGCCTGCTGTTTTTGGAAACATTGCTTCCTTAAACTAGCTTACTGTAATTGGCATATCTTAATTATGAGGATGAGCCAAACTGCTTTGCAGTTCCAATTGGTTTTGTACCTTTTCTTTGTCTTCCGAAATGCATTCAGTGTTTGACCTTTTAAAAAACCTTTTAAAAGCATGCTTCTTTTTAAAATAAATAAATAAATAAATAAATAGAAGTTTTTGGCACTTATAAGAAAGGTAAATAGACTTTTCAAAAAAGAGAGCACAGCTGCAGATGCAGAGGAGAGATTTGAAGGCACACACCTTTGGCTTCCAACCATTTCTTAAATGTCAGGGCAATTTTGATGGAAATTTATTTTCCCCTTAAGTTGGAAAATCAAATCTATGAAACTTGGGGCACTGCTTTCTGGAGCACCAAACAAAATTAAAGTTAGACCTTCTCACACATTTTCCAAGGGTTTTCATGCTGAGGCCTCTGCCTCCATCAGAAAAGAGTACTTTGTATTGAGGGACTAAAAAATAAAATCTGGATTGTCCTTATGAAGAATGTGCACAGGACCACAAGAAGGGTCTTTCACTTTCTAAGGTAAATAGTGTGAAATGGCCCTTGAAGGAGGGGTATCAGATACTGACTACAATTGCTTTTTACAAGCTATAGGGAACCATGTCAGGAAGAAGTTCCTTTTTTTTTAGGAACCAGCCCCCAGTCTTTACACTTAAGTACTAACTGAACTGAAAGCAATGAGGTTCATCTGGAATGAATGGGTAACTGATGTAAGTCTTTGTTTTATTAAATAGTAACCCTTTGTATAAATTCAGTTACCAATGAGGAAGCTCCCTACAGGACAAATCGTTTTGCCCTAAAGAATCTTAATTTTAACATTGTAATGCATGTTTATAATTGAATTTGCAAAGGCAATTAAAAGACAGCTTTGGGTGTCTGCTTTCTTCCAAGCAATTGTGTCTGAAATAGCAGACACCTTTCTTTCTTTCTTTCTTTTTTAAACTGACTGTAAGTATTAAAAAGTTCCCTAGTCAAGAGGTTTACCCATTAACAAAGGTAGAGTAAGATAAATTGCCAACATTCTGTTAAGGTTTATCTTATCTCTGTTACAAACCTATGTTGGTTTTACAGCCATGATTTCTCCCATAGCCTCCTGCAAATTGTAGTTGGATGTAAGCACTGAATATGTTTGTTTGTATCCTCTCATGGAACTGGCAGAGAGGAGGTATGTTAAACCAGTTAAAATCTGTGCCATAGATGTGCCAAAAGGTTAAAGTAGGCTTCCTTCAAGAAGGTAAAAACAGTCTCTTTACAGCTTTCCAATCAAGGTGAGAAGGTGTGTTCCTTCAGAGCTTGACATGGATGGAAAGATGCAGTTAAATATCCCATAGTATTCCATATTCATAGAATTTCCAGAGCTCACTCCATAGAAATGTGACGGAATTGTTGCTTGTACACATTACACAGATCTTTACCACCTGCCTCTTGAGGAGGACCTTTCAGGAAGTATGTTGGCTTCTCCATGTCCAATCTACTTGTGGCCTAAATTACCATTCTGGCACATGTGGTTCATTATTTACCGCTAGGCTGATACCAGATGAGCCTGACCTCTGTGGGAAGTGATGGGTGGGGAGGGTTGATTTATGGACTGTGTAAGCTGTCCAGAGAGCTTTGGCTGTGAGATGGTATAGAAATGAAAGGAAAGGAATGAAAAAATAAATAAATTGTCCTGACTTCCAGTGAATGTCCACAGAATACAGTGACCCTTAAGAATGTAAAATATGGGCCATCCTTGATTTTGATCCATGCATAGGGCTGCCCAGGGCAAAACCAAAATGGTGCCTGAACATTTGAAAAGTGGCCAAGTGAATTGAGTACGAGTTTGAAGTCTCAGATGTAGCATGCTGTGAACATCAACTGGTCTCCATAGTTACTCACAAACCCATCAGTATTGATGTTGTTTCCCTTTTGGCTTTTTTGACCATGTGTTCCCTTGAAATGTAGTGTATTTCTAGAAACTGTGATAGGCCTTCACGGTCCTTGACTTTGTTACTGTAAGTTTTTTAAAGAAAATGATTTGTGAAACATGGGACCTGAGGTGGATGGCTCAGTCCTACAAGATTGCCCACTTTCAATTGTTTGTACTATGTTATGGCTGTATGTAGAATAAGCTTATCAATGATGCAATTTAGGATTCACACAGCTTTATTATGTCTGTGTGTGTGTGCATTTTTGTATGTGTGTCCTTGGGAGTTGGAAGAGAAAGGTGATCTGTTTATAGGCTTAAGCTTTATTTAGGATTGTGCTTTGGTTTTTTCCATATGTGAGTGTATGTATGTGTGTTTTCTGGTAAAGTAACTGACTCAATAAATCTATAGCCACTTAGAACTAGAAACAGATCTAGCTGTAGATGAGAGATTGTGTTTTAAGTTTGGGTATTGAGCCCGTGTCTGTGTAGGAAACCTTAATTTGCACCACCTGGAACTCCTTGGAGAAGGTTTGGTTTCAAACACAGCAAGTAATGGCCTTTGCATCGCTTAATTCTTGTGTGGATGTGTAGAGGCAAATGCAGGTTGACGTGAATGGAATAGAAACTTCCCGTTTACATTCAGGAGAAACCACAACAAAGGTCTGCAGCCAGATGGGCTAGTAAGCCAATCTCAAGCTGAGTTCTCTTGGGATATGGCAAGCCCCTCTTCTTCTTTACTTGCTTGCCAGCAAAACGTGAAACTGGCTGAAGCCTTTTCTGCAGGTGGAAGGGAGGAGATTTGTCAGAATAGCAACAAAGCCTCTGTGTGCGTGCGTTTTTAGTTTCTTTGAGCCTGCTGCAAGTGAGCTGGCTAAAACTAAAATACTATTTTATCTCTTTGAAGAGTTCATGCTAGCGCTCCTATTGGCGGTCATCTGCATGGGCCAAGTTTTGCCCACTACCAGGTGGCTTAATGCCAGTGAAGCTGTGAAGAGGCTTACTTTTCATCATACCCACACTGCAAGTTGTTTCTGGGATAACTTTTCTTCCATTTTCTCAAGAAAAGTACAGGCTGAAGAAGTTACTCTGGAGTAGCAAAAGGTGATGGGGGCTTTCCTGCTGCCCCAAACTATTGTACTACAGGAGTAACTCAAGCACATGAGTGAACCCTAGAGGCCACTTCCCTGAAGCACACGCATTGTGGATATGCAGATTTAGGACCTCTTGCAGACTGAATCAAGACTAGCATTTTTCTTATGTAGGTGGATATTGGACAAGCCAATCCAATTGCATCCCTGTGTGTAACTTTTTTTTTTTTTGGTCAAGTTTTTAGTTACCCAACTTGAATTGTATCTGAACGGATGCGGAAGGAACTTTTTAGCGAGCTGAGACAAAAAAAACGTATTTTTCAATAAAGGAATTTGTGTGTGCATATTAACCTGTTAACAGCAATTCATAAAATCTGCACTTTTTATGAGGTTTTGAAAAATTCTATTTATAGGTACGGAACATTGGGGTTTGTTAAAACTGTATAGCATTTATACTTGCTGAAATTCCTTTCATTGTTATCGGTAGGAATTTTATTGGTTCAATAAAACTGGCAACAATAAACCCTGACCCTGTGATATGTTCATTCTTTTCTCTTCCATTCAATGGCTCATCATACTAGAGCCTGGGGCTACCCAGCGAAGTGGGAGCTGAGTGATGGGAAATTCTGAAGGGAAAAAGGAAGTACTCACACAGAACACGCCTAACCTGTGCAGTCCACTCGTTGCTTGTCATCAGTTTTGTCAGTTTTAAAAGGAATTGGACAAATTCACGGAGACTAAGGATATCAAGGCCTACTAGTCATGATGACTCAGGACTACATCCAATATGTAGAAATCACGTGATGAGTCTGACCGAACACACTTAAGAGCCCATTATTGGGGCTATGCTGTGGCGGTGAGGGCGGCGAAGAAGAAATTCTTCTCCGCTTCTATTGCCTCCTCACAATGCCATCCAGCGGAGCTCTTTCGGGTGGTACAGGGGCTGATACATCTGGGCCCAAAGAAAGATCTCGTGCCACCCTCGAAGGCCCACTGTGATGACTTCGCCAAGCATTTCAGGGAGAAAATCACTCAGATTCGTCACGAGCTGGACTCTGCTAGTGAATCAGATTCTACTGGGGAAGTGCCAATGTTGCCGTCTGGTCCACAATTGATGGATGAGTTTCAGTTGTTGCGGCCGGATGACATGGACAAGGTGCTTGGACAACTATGTTCTACCACCTGCTTACTGGACCCTTGCCCATCTTGGCTACTCAAGCAAGCCAAGGACGGGATTGGGACCTGGATCCTGGAGGTTGTCAATGCCTCTCTAAGGGATGGCCAGGTATCTGCCCCTTTAAAGGAGGCAGTAGTCCGGCCAGTCCTAAAGAAGGCATCCCTGGATCCAGAGGTGGCCGCCAATTATAGATTGGTGGCCAACATCCCGTTCTTGGGCAAGGTGTTAGAGCGGGTGGTGGCGGGACAACTCCAAACACTCTTGGATGAAACTGATTATCTGGACCCATTTCAGTCCGGCTTCAGACCTGGGCATGGTACTGAATCTGCCTTGGTCGCCCTGTATGATGACCTGTGCAGGTAGAGAAATGGGGAGTCCTGGACCTCTCAGCGGCTTTCGATACCATTGACCATGGTATCCTTCTGGGTAGGCTAGCGGGATTGGGAGTTGGAGGCACTGCTTTGCAGTGGTTCCACTCCTATCTCAATGGCTGATTCCAGAAGGTGCTGCTGGGGGACTATGGTTCTGCGCCATGGCAGTTATGCCATGGAGTTCCACAGGGGTCCATTTTGTCCCCCTTGCTATTTAACATCTACATGAAACCACTGGGAGAGGTCATTAGGAGGTGTGGGCTGCGGAATAATCAGTACGCTGATGATACCCAGTTTTACCTCTCGTTTTCAACCAATCCAGGTGAGGCAGTGGCTGTACTGAACCGGTGCCTGGCCAAGGTAATGGGCTGGATGAGGGCCAATAAACTGAAGCTCAATCCAGACAAGACGGAGGTCCTGTTGGTGGGTGGTTCAGGCTTCGGGCTGGGGGACCTGGCCCTTGTCCTGAATGGAGTTGCACTCCCTCTTAGGGACAAGGTTTGCAGCTTGGGAGTGCTCCTCAACCCTGAGCTGTCATTAGAAGTTCAGGTGACGGCGGTGGCGAGGAGCGCTTTCTTGCTTTGGCTGATCCATCAGCTACGTCCCTACCTGGAGAACGATTGCCTGGCAACAGTGACACATGTGCTGGTCACTTCCCGATTAGACTTCTGTAACGCGCTCTACGTGGGGCTGCCCTTGAAGATGGTTCGGATACTTCAATTGGTGTGGCATAGAAATGGTATGTATGTATGTCTGTATAAATGAATGAATGAATGATATAATAAAATAAAATATCAAAAGCACACCTTGCTGGAAACTGTGAATGGAGCAAACACTGCTGGCCTGGAAAGGCCTCTGGTGTGAGACAGCATGGCTATTGCATTCTTGTTGGATGTCATATGTATTTGTTGTTGCTAGTTGCAAAGTCACATCTGACCCTTCGCGACCCCATGGACAACACTCCTCCAGGCCTTCCTGTCCTCCACCGTCCCCCAGAATCCATCTAAGCTCACACCCACTGCCCCAGTGACCCCATCCAGCCACCTCATTCTCTGCCGTCCCCTTCTTCTTTTGCCATCTATTGTTCCCAGCATTAGGCTCTTCTCCGTGAGTCCTTCCTTCTCATTAGGCGGCCAAAGTATTTGAGTTTCATCTTCAGTATCTGGCCTTCTAAAGAGCAGTCAGGGTTGATCTCCGCTAAGACTGACTGATTTGACCTCATTGTGGTCCAAGGGACTCGCAGGAGTCTCCTCCAGCACCACAATTCAAAGACCTCAATTCTTTGGCGCTCAGTCTTCCTTATGGTCCAACTTTCACAGCCATACATCGCAACAGGGAAAACCATAGCCTTGACTATACTCACTTTTGTTGGCAGGGTGATGTCTCTGCTTTTTAGTATGCTGTCTAGATTTCCCATAGCTTTCCTCCCAAGGAGCAAGCATCTTTGAATTTCTTGGCTGCAGTCCCCGTCTGCGGTGATCTTGGAGTCCAGGAAAATAAAATCTGTCACTACCTCCATTTCTTCCTTTGTCAGGAAGTGATGGGACCAGATGCCAGGATCTTTTCTTGATACTGAGTTTCAAGGCAAGTCATAGGTATATCATTCGCTGTCTTGCATCTGTTTTGCAGCGAAGGAAAAGTATTTGTTTCTATAAGAAAGAGTGCCTTCCTCGGCAACTCCCTCTAGGTTCGCCTCACACTTTAAAGAACCATTGGACTGTATGGCTTCTTTGATTCCTTTCAACCTGCAATTCTAGGATAGATTCTGAGTACCAGTTACAGGGGAACATGAGCATCTCCTGTCTCCACAAACTTTCACTGGCAGCTCTGATTGACTGCTGTGGGAACAGAACATTGCAGCAGATAAGCCTTTGGTCTAAGTCTGCATGGCTCTTGTGTTCTTATCAGAACAAAGTCTCATATAGTCCAGCATTCCCCCTCAAACAGGGGCAAGCCATATTCCATCGAACGCAAGCTGCCCCGTTGCTTTCCCCCTGCACCTGCCAATCAGTGCCCCTGACTCTGGAGGTGCCAGTTGACTTCAGTGGTATGGTCTTGTCTTTTGATTTGCCTCATCCTTTTCCAAAAAGCTAGCAGCTGTCATCATGTATTCTGTGATGAATTCATTAACCAAACTCTGTGTCTTTGAAGAAGTATTTCCTTTCTCTAGCCTCCACTGAAACCCAATGCCATTGCATTATGGAATCATCTCTTAAACTCTGGTTTGACTGTACCATTTTGTTGTCGCATAGTGGCCTCTTTCGTTGTCACCAAAGTGTGATACGTTATGCTACGCCCATGCATGCCAAAAGGCAGCATTTTAAGAGTATGTAGTAATTAGAACTTCTCAAAGTGCATCATTGTGGCTGGATCATGCCTGTCATTCTTCAGAACAGAGGTAGTATGACATTCCTTAAAAACTAAGCACTCAAACCTGTTTTCCTAATGCGAACACAAGAGGGTGCTGGAATATTATAATAGCAGGAAATACTCTTGTGCTAGAGTTGCTTGAGCCAAATAATTCTTAATTTATAACATAATATTTTGGTGCAAAACCTGGCAGTTTAGAAGCATGTCCACAGCACACATTTACACCAAGATTATTAGCTCAGTAATTCAGCAAATAAGTCTGTTAATGAGGAGATCAACCCTGACTGCTCTTTAGAAGGCCAGATCCTGAAGATGAAACTCAAATACTTTGGCCACCTAATGAGAAGGAAGGACTCCCTGGAGAAGAGCCTAATGCTGGGAGCAATAGATGCCAAAAGAAGAAGTGGACGGCAGAGAATGAGGTGGCTGGATGGAGTCACTGAAGCAGTGAGTGTGAGCTTAAGTGGACTCTGGGGGATGGTGGAGGACAGGAAGGCCTGGAGGAGTGTTGTCCATGGGGTCAAGATGGGTTGGACACTTCTTGCAACAGCAGCAGCAACAATTCTCCCCCCTTTCACTCTCTCCCTTGATCCACATTTTATGCATACCGATCACTGTGGGTGAGGCGAGTCAGCCTTCCCCAACCTGGCTCCCTCCAGATGTGTTCTGTATTAGCACCTGCTTTTGCGTGGCTTGCACCATCTTGCCAAGCGTAGGCAGTCAGGCCATGCCAGTTGCTTAGGGTTTCTGAACATGAGGTGTTCAACGCGGCATTTTAGCAAGGCTGGTTTCCTTTGCAAAGTTCCTTTGCAAGCCTTCCTCCACACCTTGGGAGAGGCAATTCTTTTTATTTATTTACTTATTCATTCCTTACATTTTTATACCACCCATAGTCCAAAGGCTCTCCTCCTTTTCCACCTTCATCTGTATCCCATTACACGAGCACAAGGTGGTGCCCTCTGTGGCACAGCACAACAGCAGAAAGACATGTGTTTTGCCTTGATAATAGCTGAGGATTATCCATGTTTTAAAGAATAACAGGAAATGCATAGGAAGTACAAAAGAGGCCCTGGAGACGACCATTGTCATGTAAAGCCCTTGCAAACTAACATGAATAAAGCATCAGGAGCACACTATTATTATTATCATCCTCACTTTGCATTTATATCATACCTTTTTTCCTCTTGCAAGGAACCCAAAGCAGCTTACACAGTCTTTTTTCACTCCATTTCATCCACACAAGCAACAATCCTTGGTGGTTAAGCTGAGGGTGAGCGGCTGGGCCCAGAGTCGTCCACTGAAGACTAAAACCCAGATCTTCCGTGGCACCAGTCCAACCCTGACCACCGACCACACTGGCCTTGCATAGAGAAGCCCCAGCTCCTGTGACCACTCGAACCTGTTACAGTTGGGCAGGGGTGCACAAACTGTAGCCCCCCAAGTTCTGTGCCCCCTGCTACGGCTCCAAAATCCCCTCTCCAAAGATCATCATACTGTATGTGCTTTCCTCACAAGAAAGAGCACCTGTCCAACACTCTGCTTGCAATCTCCTAGCAACAAGAGTAATCTATCAAATCAGTGGGATCTTCATGAATATATCTGTGTACATTCATGTGGGCCCCCAAGCCTGCTTCACATGTAGCTTTCAGAGCCAAAAAGAAAGTACACCCTAACTTAAGGTCTTTTTTGAGCAAACGTGAGATGAGGCGATAAAGCCATGTCTGATTTGCGCAGTCGACTAGAGACCTCAGACTACACATGGGAGCTGGGGCTTCATCATTGAATATTCTTCCTTAGAAAAATGAATCCCTGTATGTACAGAACTAGTGCGTTAGAGAGAAGGTGTGACAAGAACTCACACGGATAACCACTTTGCACTCAGATCAAGCCAGACATATGTATGTGTGCACACACTGGAGGAATGTTGTCCATGGGGTTGCGATGGGTCAGACACGACTTCGCAACTAACAACAACACAGAGCTGCCATCTATCTGCTCCCTTCTTGTCTCTGCTCTAAGTCAGTGCATGGAGTTCCACTTTCTGGTACCTGGTTTGTTTAATCCAGCCTTGATTATGTTTTGCTTTTATGCTGTTTCCTTCTGTTTCACTGAGCATCTTTACAGTACAGAACAAAGAGGATCAAAAGAATAGCAGAATCAAATACGGTTGTTGGTTCAAAATAAAACAGCTTTTTCAGAACGTTTATGCATTGTGATGTGTGTAAATTTTACTCCATGTTCTAACTGTGCAATGGCTCACTTTCAAACCTTGTTTCTCCAGTCTACAAACTTCCGTTTTGCAAATAAAACAGAAAGTAAATTATTGTACACTGAATCAAAAGATGAGTATTCACCCCATCCAAGGTGAACTCTCTGTAACTTACCTGTCAGGCCAGAACACCCACAGGTAAAATTTAGTCCAACACTGCATCTCCAGGTTAGAAAATGCTACATCTATTGATGTGTGGCAGCTATCTAAGGTACAGTGTCTGTTAGAAAAATGGTGGCAACTCTATTTAACATTTCTCCATGCACATATAGCCCAGAAACAGCAGGCTCTAACTGTGGGCCACAGCAATTAAAGGTTCCCAAGCAGCCACAAGCTACAGGTAATCAAAATACCATTTATTGTCTTAGTGTATTTATGTAATGCTTTTCATGTAAAACATCTCCAAGAAGCTAACAAAATTAAAAATAAATAGAACTTAGCAATAAATACATTTTAAAGAATGCAGCATAACCCAACATAACCAGCAGCAAGGGGAAGGAAAAAGCCAGATCAAAACTCTACAAGTGAAACTTGTAACAAATTGTTACTTTGTGAAAGGTGTCCATCTTCAGTTTCTCCCTCCCCTTATAACATGGGTCCTCAAAAGTTTGAGGACCGCTGCCTTACAGCATTGCATGGCTACCGAGCATGCCTGATCTGAATGACAAGGACTGTATCTGAATTACTGCCTCCACCTGATTCAGGAGAAAGTATTACTTTTCTAAAGATTGGTTTGGGGTTCCTATAAGCTTTCCAATACTGCCTTCTCATGCATGTAGCTCCTTTGGCCATAACAGGATCCACACTGTACTTCCAAATTTTGGAAAAAGTTAGTATTTGTGGGTAAAAGATCCTGGGCAAATAAAAAGGCCGGCTTCCTCTGGTGCCCGGCAAATGTCCCTATGGAGAGCGTTCTGGAGCCAAGGAGGTGAAACCCCTCTTTTATCATGGGACACCACCTATATCAACTCAGTAGGTAGAAGGAACTGAAGGACTTCAGAGGAAGAGCTCCAAAATGGTGAAGATCTGAATGGAATAAGGCAGTCCTTATGTAGGCTGGTTACTTGCACATTGCCATGAAAGAAAACACCAATTTCCACAGAATGTGCATGCACTAATTTATATGCATATATGATAAATTAGTAGTTAGTGGGCAGTGAGGTGACCTGTATGCTTTCTCCATTCACTGTCCGGGTGCTAACCCTGGATAGGCAACGTCAAGGCTCTGATTCGTCCTTCTTATGGCTCTTTATCATTAAACCACACTGGAACCAAGCAGCCTTCAAACAGAGGATTGTCTTCTACACAGTAGGCCACATGGCCTCTCTCCCCTTCAGCTAAACTGGTCCTAAGCCACAGAGCCTTTAAATGACAAAACCAACATGTTGCGCTGAGCCTGGAAACAGGCAGGGAGCCTGTGTAGTTATTGTCAGATGCACCCCATCCCAATTAGGAATCAAGCTTCCCAGTTTTGCACGAACTGTGGTTCCTGAACCAATTTCATTGGCAGCCCCATATAGAACATGTTATGGTAATACGAGCTTCATCAACCTGGAGAAGTCTGCAAAGGTTCCAGTGTGCAGAGGCTGCAGTACAACCCCCAGGTGCAAAGTCAGTAAACCTCAACTGCTCTGAACAGGATGACGTATCTGATGCGAGGCAGTCTTCCCAACCTGGTGCCCTCCAGAAGCATTGCATGTTTTGCTGCTGTTCTGTGCCATCACGTTGTCTCTGGCTTACGGAGCCCCAGTGAACGGAAGCCCTCCAAATGTCCAATCCACAACAGCCCTGCTCAGCTCTCGCACATCCCAGGCTGAGGCTTTCTGTATCAATTCAACCCGTCGCATGGTGGCTCCCCCTTTTCTTCTCCTGCCTCCGACTTTCCCCAGCATGACTGTCTTCTTCAGGAAGCCTTCCCTACTCATGACGTGCCTGAAGTACAACAGCTGCACTTTTGCCATTTAAGACCCATAATCCCCAGCCAGTATAACCAAGCGGGTTGAGCATGCTGAGCACTGTCATCCAATACATCTGGAGAGCACCAGGTTGGGAAGGCTGACCTAACGATTTCAGTGTAGAGTCAACATTCAAGTCAGGGACTTCCTGGTTCATAGCTTGGCCTCTTTGTCACTGCACTACACCAGCGTTTCTTCACCCCGGAAGTGCACATTCTTCTCACTTCGAGGGACAAATGCAGATTTGCTAAAATGTTGCCAAATGTACAATTATCCTTAATTTATATGCCAGGCAGTAGGCAGGAGAGAATCTAGAGTGCAAATCACAATTAAACCCCTTACCACGAGTCAGTGCATTTGCCAAACTAGTGCACTCTCTCCTGCCTGGCTTTGGCTCGCCGGGGTCTTAGGGGTCTTAGCCTTTCCCAGCCTAGCTCCTTGAGGCCCCTTTAACTGCCTTGACTGCCACAGAAAGAACCCGGCAGCTTCTCCATGCAGGATGGGTATCCTGGGTTATGGCCCCACTCCTAAACAAAGAAAACACACGTGCAAGAGCAATTCTTGACTAAAAAAAGAATTTTTTTCAAAATGTTTCCAAAGCCCTTCCTGCCCCTGTCATTCTGTTTCCTTAGTTCATAAAACTATTCCCAAAGGACTCAGGGGAAGCCTATCATGGCTGATGACCCCAGCTTTGCATCTTCATACATTCTAGTCATAAGAATGTGTGTTCCTCTCATATTCAAGAGTATTTTGTGTTTCTGCAAAGATTTGACATGGTAGTGAGAGGTTAATCAGCCCACCAAAGCTGCTGGTTTTACGATACATGAACTTTTAATTTGCCATAAAATTTCCCTTTGAGGTCATGTAGCTCACCCATGTTGCCAGAACATCGGTTCATCACTGATAATGTCACCACAATAAATATTTAGGAACAACAGGAGATTAGCAACATATTGCAAAGTATTGCTTCATTCTGAGGGGAGAGAGGGAGTTCTTTGCTTTTTAGGCATCTGCTGAAATCTTAGGAAGAAATCTTTTGGCTAAGAAAGATACAACATAATTTAGGCCTGTCACAATATTGGTTGTAGCATCAATGACCAACAAGAACAGTCCACCAATGCCTGAAGCGATATCTTGAAGTACCGATGGAATCGCACCCAAGGTGTAAAAAGGGAAGGACACAATATCCAGGATCAGATTAACAGGCACACTAAGAATCCTGTATGTAATCATTAAAACATTGTAGATGTTTTTCGCAATGCCGTTCAGGATGTTTACAGCTACCCGTGCCAGGTCGATGAAGATATTCAGCAGCGCTGTGGAAATTCCTTTGATGAAAGTAGTCACCCCCCTGATAACCATCTGGACAAGGCGCCACAGGAGATAAAAGGTAAGTTTCACTACTTGGCCAACCAGGTAGAAAATGAACTTCAGCAGTTTGAAGAGCGGGGTCACAATGAAATAGAACAGTTTCTTCAGGAAGCCACTTTCCTCTTTTTCTGCGCTTTCCTGGTGGCTCGCAGTGGCCTTTTTTCCTTGTGGCACCAGTTTTTCATCCTGTATCTCTTTTACAGACTGCAGCACGGCCTCCAGTTTCTGGGGATCATGCCTCTCTTGGCCACAGTTGTTCTTAAACAGCTGGGCCCCTGAAGAAAGCTTCTTCTCAAGAGCTTCCACAGTTGAACTTTCTAGACGGTTTTCGGCAGCCAGCTGTTTAATAAATCCCACAGACCAGGCCTTGGTGCCATCGTCACAGCAGGCTGCTAACCAAAGAAACTCGGGGACTGCAACTTTTTCTTTCACTCGGAGGGTGGAGGGGATGGCTCCCGTAATGAGATAGAGATCCTTTCCATTCCCACACTGAGGAGCCAATCCTCGGCCTAACAGGTTCTCAACCTCCCAGTGCCAAATCTCCTGAAGAGGCGGAGTCATCGGTATGGCGTTGGTCAGTGTGTGGGTGGCAATTTGGTGGTCTCCCTTGTGAAGGGAGCTGGGGTTGAGCTGCCCCTGCACATAGCCAGAGTCCACATAGTCTGCAGTGAGTGCCTGGTTCGTTCCCAAGTTCTCCACCGAACCTGTGACCTCATCCTCGGGCATCATTCCTTCCAAGCCATTTTCAGGATCATCCAGCTGAAAGAGCAACACAAACGATCATTGAATTTGAACCCAAACCAAATTCTGGATTCCTGTTTGCAAGATAGCAAAGTCCCAGATGCAATCAGAAATCATCTCAGCACCTGATTTGAATATCTGTGGCTCCCCCTCCCACTTTTATTTATTATTTATTTATTTGGAGGTTCTGTATGCCGTCCCATTCGCATGAGCCTCGGGACGGCTTCCAACACAATAAATAAGCATATAAAACAATACATATTTTCCTCTTAAGACTCTAACTCAGGAAAGAGAGGCCTTCCAAACATTCTGGACTATGAGTCCTATCAACCCCAGCCAGCATAACCAATGGTAAGAGATATCATGGCAGTTGTAGGCCAAACCATTGAGGAGGACAATAAGTTGCCCACTCTTGTTGTGACAACATGCAAACTCCACAGCCTGAACACTGTCCCCTTTTTTCTCCGCACACGCTTCTTTTCTCCTCCATCTATTATCTTGACCAAAAAAGTGCTCTGGGGAACTTGAAAGCCTGCACACTATTTTGTGTCCTTTACTGGCCGAGTGAATGCACTGCCCAGCCAAGGCTTTTGGAATCTGTCGGCTGAGATATCTATTCCATACCATCTTGACCAATCAGTGCTGGGAGCATCATTGCAATGCAGAATTAACAGGTGGCAACCTTTGTCTCTTTATATCGAGACATGATGGCACATGCCATTTTTCCAGGGTCAGGAGGTTCCACAGGAATCTTTTGTCCTGAGTCACCCAAAGGAATGTGTTTGCCTCACACACGCTTCCAGAAGAGAAATGTCTCCTTCAGATGACATTCTTAGGAGACATTGTGTTTAATGGTGTTAAATTGTGTGTTTCATCCGGGAATGTGTCAAGCAGACTCCACTTATGCACAATTGTGCATACGAATAGAGTGTCAGGGGCGCGTCTTGTCCCCAGAAGATTTCACTTTCAGGCACTGAACATGTCACACAGGATTCATGCCTTATGGGCTGAAATCCCAACCCCATCTAGCACATACGTAATTCTTCCAAAGCCCTACCTAATTTTTAAAGAAGCATGTGCTACAGCTCCTGCTATCCTGGAAGACACAGACTCCAACTTGGGTCTTTGCTCCCTGGTGCAGGATAACAAAGTGTGGCCACTTAAACTCCAGGCGGGGGCATTCTGCACAAGCCTCAAGAATCCCTTGTCCCTTTATTACTTTGCATAATCTAGGATGGAACCTAACTCATCTATACCTCTCGAAAGAGCCAGCTGTGTTGACTGTGGACAAGAGAAAGCCAAGGAAAGGCTCAATAGCCCTCTTTGAGGTTCTGAAAGGATGTCACACAGAAGAGACGTGTCTCTCCAGAGTTAGGGCAGCTGCTCCAGACAACTGGAGCTAAAGGGTGAATAATCCAAGGAAGCAGATACTGATCCTCTATATGACGTTCCTACTGGTGGGAGTTCGTGAACAGTGGAACAAACTACCCTAGGAAGCGTTAGGCTATGCGTCATCTTAAGCAGAGGTGGGCCAGTGTTACTGAATCTGTGGAATTCCTACACTGTGAGAGAGCTAGACTAGATGACGCCCAAGGTCCCTCCTAGCTCTAAAATCCTATCATTCCATAGTGCTGGTTGGAAGCGCAAGCTGAGGCCCGTCTGCTGCTAGTCAGGTTAGTTTGCATTAACTAGCAGGTACAGGACTGCCTACCGCTTCTGCTTCTGCAGGATGCTGTGGGTAGATGGAATGCCTTTAATTACAGAAGCATCTGGACAATTTTCTCTCTGTCATCCTTGTTAATGAAGAAGCAAGGCATGCTTAAAGTACCACAAAGAGGGTGCAGTGCTGAAAAGGAGAAAATCCAGAGGGATCCTGCCAGTGGGCCCCTGTTAAAGTTGTGGGTCCTTGGCTGATGCCCAGCCCTACCAGTCTTGGACACCAGCCCTGATGACCGCCGCCGCCTTGGGAAACAGCCCTCAGAAATGCTTAGACTGTGGGCCAACAGCAGGCCTGTACAACAGGTGACACCCTCTCTATGCCAAGAGCGTCTTTTTGCTGCAGGCAAGAGTACATGGAAGTCTACCCTGTATTATCAGAAAGGGTAAAGAAAGAAATAACCCAAGCTATCAGGTAGCTGGAAGATTTCCCCATGGGGAAAGACAGGAAGAACTTGGGAAGGTTTAATTTAGTGGAGAAAAGGACAAAAGACGTCACCATAGAATTTTATTAAATTCTGTAGGTCGTGAACTAAGGGAGCCTAACTCTTGTCCACCTCATGGGTTTCCCACGGGTGGAGCATGGTGTGAAGAGAATACTGGACTACATGGGCCCAAGCTCTCCTCCAGTGCAGCTCTTCTTATGTTAACATTTTTCCTCCCTCTCCTATATTACTAGTAACTGGGGTCATCCAATGAAACGGACTGTTAAATGCATTGGAATATACAAAGGAATAAAAGGACTTCTTCAAGCAATGCACCATCAACTTCTGGAATTCTCTGCCACCAGATGTGGCAATGATCACAGGCACAGAGTGCAGTCCTGCGCACGTTTAGGCAGCAAACATTATCCTGCATCTTCCAGCAACGCTGTCTGAGGAATGCTGGGAGTTATAGGGCCTTTTTTTCCCTGAATGTGCATAGGATTGCACCGTTAGATGGCTTTAAAAAGCGGAGTGCTCAATTGATTTCATTTCTATACTGCCCAACAGCAGGATGTATATCCGATAGCACGTATCCTCCCATACATGGCTGGTCATTGTCAGAAGTCCTTCTCCAGGAAACACCTGTAAAGGATATAAGGAAGGTGGCTACCCGGAGCAGAGCCTTTTTGGCCGTGGCACCCTGTTTGTTGAACCAGCTTCCCAGAAAGTTGCACTTGTCCCCAATGTTCTACATCTTCAGGTACGAGGATAAAACCTTTTAATTTCTTCAGCATCTTAATTGTTTAAATTGTGTATTATATTTTTGTGGCACTGTGGATTAATTATTTTAATTATTTTAATTATTATTTTTTATTATTATTGGTTTCATATTCTGTCTGTTACTGTTATTGATTATATTTTGTTTCTATTGATCATGGTTGTAAATTTTTCTTGATTCAATCTTCTTGCAATGTTTTAAACATTGTAAACTGTCCAGAGAACCTACTGGATATAGGCACAGTATAGAAATTATATTTAAAATGATAAATAAATAAGAAAGAATCTCAGGGCAAGGTTTGCTTATTCGTGGTGCACCCATGCCCTGTCCTGAAGTCAAGCAGGTCTCCCTCTGGTCAATGCATGACTAGGAACCCCCACAGTGGACTTTTCTATGGTATAAGATGTTTCCAGCTACAGCAAGAATCTTCGTTTACGTGTGATCATGATGACTGACTTTTTTATTGCTTTTGAGCTTCTCTTGCATATTGCTATTGTACTAGAAGGATGGATATGAATTATGTTAATAAGTAAACATACATCCTTAATGACAAAAGTAAATCAAACTTTTCAGAGTTCACTGCTCTTTGACACTGGATAGGACCAGGTGGCCATGTCCACCATCTTGCTGGATTCATAATTTCATTCTCCTCTATGAACCAAACTTCAGTCTGAAATCTTACATAATGTTTTAGGAGAAGAAGGAAGTAGCTTGATAGAAGATCTATTTGAATAACCAAATATTTGGAACAAGGAAGTTGGAATAGCAACAGCTGTTTGTTATCACTTATCTGCGAAGCACCTCCAGGTGCCTTCAGAAACCAGCATGTGGAGAAGATAGGTGTTATTATTTCAATGTCTGTCTCCATTCCATTCCATCCTGCGAACTCAGGCTGAGAGAGACAGGGGCATGTTGAAGGGCAAACAGTGAGGCTGGAAGTGCAACTAAAGCCCTAGTTTCCAAATCCAGTGCTTCATGCAATGGGACACCTTGCAAAGGACATCACCTAAACCAGCCTTCCCAACCCAATGCCCTTCAGATGTGTTACTCCAACACATGTGAAAGGTACCAGACTGGGGAATAACCCAAACCCTAACATGTTTTATGGAGATATTGCCACACTGCAAAAAAATGGTTGAAGGGAAAGATTCAGTAGCTATTTTCTGGTTATTTAGAAAGAAAAAGGTGTGGTGTTTAAGAGCAGAAGCAATTAAAGCTTGCACAACTATTCATGGGATTCCAGAATGCAGAGACAATGTATACAAAGCCAAGAAACTAAGAGAACTGATCAAAAGAGACTCTCCTTTTTCTGGCTGTATCTTAAATAGCTGCAAGCACAAGAGAAGTTCAACTAGTTCAGGATTTTCCCCTTGCAGCTTCTTCGTACAGGGAGAAAGGCTACCTACACAAGGCATAAGAGTTACACCAGAAGAAGTGGCAGAGTTCCTCAAACATATCACAGATTATGCCAACCTGGATGACCTGGTGTCTTCTAGGTATTTATGCACTGTAAGTCCCATCAACCGCAGCCAGCATGGGCAATGGTCAGGGATTGTGGGAGCTGTAGTCCAAACACACCACAAAGGTAGCACGTCACCTATCCTTAGATTATGATGATGGGGAACAGAGATGATGCCCACACATCACATTCTTGGACAACTTCTAGGGCTCCAGCAGCAGGAAAAGCCCCTCTTGCATTTTTATCCCAGGATAAGCACTCCAAGTGGCTGGATTTTGTCACTTCGCACAACTCTTCTGACCCAGCTTTGCAGGAAATTCAAGGACAGCCGCGCAACTCTATTTGGAGCTACCGCGACCAGAAAAATCCCAACCATGCCCAGTGAGCAAGGAAGAGACACACCAAAGCACCCTTTAACCAAGCCAGTCTTGAATCGGATTTGACAAATGACCCTGCTAGAGAGAAAAATTAGTAGCATAAGAAGAGTCCTGTTGAATCCTCTAGGAGCAGCTGAGTGGCACTGAATTTTTACAAGGCTTCTCAGCAAAGTCTGTCTACCCATTCAATTACCAATGGACTGCGAAATCCACTGGCCTGTGCTGAGAAACACTGTAGAAATTCAGCGCATGTGTAGGTTTTA